CCATAGCTACTCCATAGAGCTGACCAAACTGGGCAGAAAAGCTCCTTCTCCACAGAGGGAGGGCTGTACATTGAGTACATGGCCCGGTGATGGGAGCTACTGTGGAGGTGGATCGCAGCTCATACATGTGCTGGGGTAGGGAGCCACTCTGTCCTAAAAATAGCCCACGGAAAATGGCTGGAGGCCTTGTGCCAGCCTGGCAAGCACAAGAAAAGCCCTGAGTTCAAACTGCAGAATGGAGAAAAAAAGCATCATTTTGCCTCCTCTCAGTGCTCCTGCTTGCTGACTGTATGCCCTGCACCGATCTGTGCGTGCTGCCCTGTTGTCCTTGATGGTGGTAACCGTACAGTGGCGTTTGAATCATATGGTACTCATCTTTTCATAGTTTTGGAGCCTGTCCTAGTTCTTGGCTTCCCTTATAAAGTATAGAATTGGGTCCAGGAATGTGGCTTAGTGGTGGAGCGCTTGCCTAGCATGCATGAAGCCCTGGGTTCGATTCCTCAGTTCCACATACACCGAAAAAGCCAGAAGTGGTGCTGTGGTTCAAGTGGTAGAGTGCTAGCCTTGAGCAAAAAGCAGCTCGGTCAGTGCCCAGGCCCTGAGTTCAAGCCCCAGGACTGGCAAAAATTAAAAAAAAAGAGTATAGAATTGTTGATTTCTACAAAACAAGTGAACTGGTGGGATCCAGGTGGGTTGGGGGAGGGGGAGGCCTCCTAGCTGGGAGATGGCACTGCGCGTGCCCCACGTGACTCAGGCGCTGAGGACCCGTGCAGCTTTACATGCACGAGTGCAGCCGGAGGAGGAGTGCCTGGCGGCCTGTGAAAGCCACTCACACGCCACTCATGTGAAAGCCACTCACACGCCGGTGCAGATGTCCCACGGCTGCTGCTAAGCTACCAGTGGCTGGCCCTTGCTCAGTGTGCCACGGAGCTGTCTCTGGTGACGCGTGGGTCTCCATACCCACAACTGCGCAGTCCGAGGTGGGGGACCTCGTGGGTATCGGGCATCTGACTTGTAAGGAATCAAGGTGGGAATCTGTAATCCTAGCTACTAGGGAAAGGTTTGTGGTTCGAGGCTGGCCTGAGCCAAAAATTTTGTAAGAGCCGGGCGCTGGTGGCTCTCGCCTGTAATCCTAGCTACTCTGGAGGCTGAGATCTGAGGATCACGGTTCAAAGCCAGCCTGGGCAGGAAAGACTGTGAGACTCCTATCTCCAATAAACCACCAGAAAACCGGAAGTGGCGCTGTAGCTCAAGTGGTAGAGCGCTCGCCTTGAGCTGAAGAGCTGAAGGACAGTGCCCAGGCCCAGAGTTCAGGCCCCATGACCAACCAAAAAAAAAGATTATGTATCTTGGGTTTATCTGCCAGGCTCTGAACCTTAGTCCTCAGATCTCAGCCTCCTGAATAGCTAGGATTACAGGCCTGAGCCATGGTGCTCCGCTCAGGGTGTCGGGATTTGAAGGCCATGAGAGGTGACATTCCTGACTCAAGGAAAGATAATGGTCAGAGACGTTGGAACGTTTCGGGGGGAGCTTCTCACCATAGCACAAATTCTTCAGAAAAATATGAGATAAAAATGAGAATACAAAGTTGTTGATTAGCCAAGGGGCAGCCAAAGACTTGTGTCCAGCGACAGTGACCCCATGGCAGGTGAAGAGCAGGAGAGGGCAGTGCGGGGCGTCTGCTGAGCTCCCGGCACACTGCAGACCTCTGACTGGAGCGCTGGCCTCCGGCAGGCTGCTGTGGCTGCGGTGGCACCGGGCCTTGGGCGTTGGAGGGGCTGAGTGAGGGCCAGCGTCAGCTGTTCACCCTCAGGTGCTTGGTGGAAAGCGTGGGCTGAGGGCTCACCGAGCTGGTTCTGGGCACAGCGCTTCACAGCACCCAGGTCCGCATCTGTTTGGGGAGTTGAGGTGCTGACTGGCAAGTGAGGGCCTCGGCTCAGTGGCCGTGGCCATGCTGAGCCTTGGGACCAAAGCAGATTTGGAGCTGGCCAACTGTGGAAGTAGGTTTTGGTCCACGTGCGTAACGCACCCTGAAGAGCTTGCTAGAACCCAAGGCAGCGCAGCGCCAGTGCTGCATGTGTGCTGCCGTAAGGTGGCTTTGGCAGCCACTGCAATTGCAAGGTTCTGACTGAGGAGAGGTAAAACACAAAGCCAGCTCTGTTCCCAGGCCGCCTGAGCCCGGGCTGGGCTCCGGGCTCACGCTGCAGCTCCAGCAGTACAGCGACCTCTACTGGCCAAGCCCACCCCGGGCTCAGTGCTTTCCTAGAAGGACCCATGGGGCTCCAAACAGTGGAAGCACGTGTGGTGCTGGCCAGGCACAGCCCAGGACGGGGCTCCGGCCTCTTCGGGGGAGGTGGGACCCTGCTTGGTGGGGCTTGGTCATGGCCCTCCAGAGGTGAGGACGCTACCACACGGCCCCCGGTATGGACGAGGCCTCGGGGTTCCCAGGGCCTCCGGCTCCTCCCCCCCCCCCTGCACAAGGTGTGGACGAGCCTGGCTGGCAGTCGGCTGCCACCGTGCCACCGTACTGGCACCGGGAAGGGGACCAGGCACTCACGGCCACTCTCTTCAGAGCCCCCAACAGTTCCAGTCTTCTCTGTGGATTTTTATTTTTTTGTCAGTCATGGGCCTTGAACTTTGGGCCTGGGCGCTGTCCCTAAGCTCTTCAGCTCAAGGCTAGCGCTCTACCACTTGAGCCACTGGCTGGCTTGGAATTGCATTTTTAAGTTGTAGTTAGTGTATTTTGATTTGTCAATGACAGTTTTGGAACTTTGTGTTAGTGCCTATGCACTGAACTGAAAGCAAAGTGAACTGTATGTGAAGTGGTGCGCGCTCTGGTTACGGTTGGGTGGTGCGTGTAGTCCTGGCCCCAGGTCAGAGCTGTGAGTGGATCTCCGTCCCGGCAAGTACCCGCCACTCCCTCTGCCGTTCAGGAGGCCTCGGGGGCTGGGGTCTTGTTGTCCATTCACTGTACATGTTTGTTTTGTTTTTGGCTGGTCCTGGGACTTGAACTCTAGGCCTGGGCGCTGTCCCTGAGCTCTTCCACCTTAAGGCAAGTGCTCTACCACTTGAACCACAGCGCCACTGACATTTGGTTTTATCCCAATTTTTGGCAAGTGGGAGTAGTTGGGGTCTGGGCTTAATTTGCCCTGATTGTGTTGTAAGAAGGAAAGGAAAGCTTGTTGAATTGACGGATGCTAGTTATTGAACCCTGGGCTTCAAGCACCCTACCACTTACCTATGACTGCCCCCCTTTCCAGTTGTCTCTGTTTTTGAGTTTCCTTGTTGTCTTTGCCTGGTTGGCCTTGAACTCATGATTCTCTTGCTTCTACCTCTTGACTAGCCGCAGCTACAAGCATGTCACTACACCCAGCCTGAGACACTTGACAAAGGTTTTGTGAGGAGTTTTCTCTTTTGGAGAGGTTTAAGGTGCTTAGGTTTGGGCCCAGGGTCTCCTGCTTGCTAGGTACACCTACCGCTGAGCGATGCCTTCAACTTGCCACACTGTTCATTTGTGGGGGTATTTTTGTTGTTGTTTTGTTTTTTTGGCCAATCTTGGGACCTTGAACTTGGGGTCTGGGTGCTGTCTCAGAGCTGCTTTCTTTCTTTTTTTTTTTTTTTTGGTTTTGTTTTTTGCTCGAGGCTGATGCTCTGACATTTGCCATAGCTCCACTTCCAGCTTTTTAGTGGTTAATTGAAGGAGCCAAGAGTCTCATAGACTTTCCTGCCCAGGCTGGCTTTGAACCTCACCATCCTCAGATCTTGGCCTCCTGAGTAGCAAGGATTACAGGCGTGAGCCACCAGAGCCTGGCTTTGCTCTGTTTTGAGATAAGGCCCTGCTTTTGGCCCAGAAAGACCCCCAGGCCTCTGTCTGCCCATTTAATGCTTCCTGTGTGCCAGTAAAATAGGCTCATGCCCCCGCAGCCAGCCTTTGGTGAGGGTGGTGTACTGTTCCCCTGTCTGGCCTTTAAGCAGTTAGGATTACAGGTGTAAACTGTTGGCACCTAGATAAACAGTTTTACTAAGATACAATACACATGGTGAAATTAACCTATTGTGGGTGAATAATTCAGAGTGGTGTGTTTTCATGGAGTATATCTGCAGGCCTCAGTTTAAGACCAGATTCTTCATGGCTCACAACGATAATCCTAACTACTTAGAGGCTGAGATATGATGATTGGAGTTTGAAGCCAGCCAGGCAGGAAAGTCGTAAGATTTTTTTTTTGAGGGGGAGGGGTTGGTTGTGAGGCTTGAATTCAAGGCCTGGGTGCTGTCCCTGAGCTCTTTTTTTTTTTTTTTGATCCGGTTGTGGCGCCTGAACTCTGGGCCTGGGCGCTGTCCCTCAGCTCTTCAGCTCAAGGCTAGCGCTCTACCACTTGAGCCCCAGCTCCACTTTCGGCTTTTTTCTTTTTGCTTATGTGGTACTGAGGAATCGAACCCAGGGCCTCATGCATGCAAGGCAAGCGCTCTACTACTGAGTCACCTTCCCAGCCCTCCCTGAGCTCTTTTGATCAAGCCTAGTGCTCTACCACCTTGAACCACAGTGCCACTTAGTTTTTCTGGTGGTTCATTAGTGATAAGAGTCTCACAGATCTGCCTCCTTAGTAGCTAGGATGACAGGTGTGAGCCACTGGCACCCACCTGTTGTGTTTTTTTGTTTTTGTTTTTTGCCAGTCCTGGGGCTTGAACTCACATCCTGGGTGCTGTTCCTGGGCTGCTTTTGCTCGAGGCTAGCATTCTATCACTTAAGCCGCAGTGCCAGTTCCGGCCTGTTCTGTTATGTGGTGCTGTGGAATTGAATCCAGGGCTTCATTCATACTAGGCAAAACGCTCTACCACTGAGCCACCTTCCCAGCCCTGATGTGGGATTCTTGCTGCCTCTTTCCCTGGGGAGCGGAGCCAGGACAAGGGCTGATCTGCCACAGGTTTTGTATGGGAAGGGGGAGGGTGACAAGTTCTGGGCTAGTGACACAGGTGACGCTCACTCTGTCTGTTTGCAGACTATGTCTACTTCGAGAACTCCTCCAGCAACCCGTACCTGATCCGAAGGATCGAGGAACTCAACAAGGTAGCACTCTACCTGGGAGGAGGAGGGGTGGAGGCCAGGGCCGGCAGTCTTCCTGGGCTTCTGGGCTACCTAGATGCAGGACTTTCGATGGCATAAGCGGTCGATGGTCCCTGGTCTCAGAAGTTCTGGTTGGATGACCGAAGACCAGCGCACGGCCTCAGAAGGCCCTGTGGGAGGTGGCTCCCAGCTGCTCCTGCAGCCTTAGGGCTTCCCGGAGGCCTGCGGTGGCCTTGAGGGTGTGTGCATGCTGGGCCCCTGCTGCCCACCTCCTCAGTCACTTCTGGGCTCCCCTGGGCCTGCTGGGAGCCTGGGTCCAGAGACACATTTATGTCTGTCAGCCAAGAGCCCTCCTGCGGAATGAGCCTGCCACCACGGGGAAGCCCCAACTTGCCCGCTCCACTCTGCTTGGCGTGGCCACAGCCTTCTGGAAGATGGAGAACCTGGAGGGAGTTGGGGCACTGGGCCTGGCTGGAGAGAGTCCTCAGGAGATGCGGAACACCGACTCCTGCAGACTCTAGGACTGGCTTCTGGCTGGAGATGTCCCGGTGGTGGTGTGCGCAGACAGGTCTCTTCCTCCCACAGTTGGGTGATGGACATAGTGCTGGACAGAGCCCGCCTGCTGTCCTGGACCTAGGGCGCAGGGCTGACTTGGAGTGTTTGCGGAGGGGCAGCACAGATGCACGGTTGTCCTGAGAGCCGCAGGGCTTCACAGATGAGCGATCCCGAGTCGAGCAGACAGTGGCCAGAGGGACTTCCAGATGGGGCCTGCTGCGAAGCACAGAGCTTTTCCTTCTGTTCTTTTGTCTGACTCCTAAAATAGCAAGACAGGACAGGTGCTGGTGGCTCACGCCTGTAAACCCAGCTACTCAGAAGGCTGAGATCTGAGGATCATGGTTCTAAGCCAGCCTGGGCAGGAAAGTCCATGAGACTCTTAACTACAGTTTACAAGCAAAAAAGCTGAAAGTGGAGCTGTGGCTCAAGTGATAGGGTACCAGCCTTGAGCAAAAAAAGCTCAGGGACAGACAGCACCCAAACCCCGAGTGCAAGCCCTGTACTTACACATACACAGAAAGTTGAGATACCTGAGAGCGTTGTGTTTTTTTTTTGTTTTTTTTTTGTCGGTTGTGGGGCTTGAACTCTGGGCCTGGGCGCTGTCCCTCAGCTCTTCAGCTCAAGGCAAGCACTCTACCACTTGAGCTATAGCGCCACTTCTGGTTTTCTGGTGGTTTATTGGAGATAGGAGTCTCATGGTCTCTCCTGCCTGGGCTGGCTTTGAACCGCGATCCTCAGATCTCAGCCTCCTGAGTACCTAGGATTACAGGCGTGAGCCACCAGCGCCCGGCCTGAGAGCGTTTTTATAGTGAAAGATTAATACATGAGCTGTCATCCTAGCTCCTCAGGAGACTGAGATCTGAGGATTGCGGTTCAAAGCTAACCCAGGCAGGAAAATCTGTGAGACTCTTATCTCCAGTTAACCACCAAAAAGCTGCAAGTGGAGCTGTGGCTCAAGTAATAGAACTCTAGCCTTCAACAAGAAAAGCTCAGGGACAGCACTCAGGCCCAGAGTTCAAGCCCCACGACTGACCAAAAAAGAAAAAAAAAAAATGAATATATGAACTGTAGGAGGAATGGTGCCTTCACTGGACAGCCCACGGTCCTGGAGGTCTGGCCAGTGGGCGGGGGGGGGCAGTACTCGGGAGCACGAGCAAGCACCCACAGAAGGGAACTGGATGAGAGTTGAGGAAGTCGGGACCCGATGGGGGAACAGGTCTGGCACCCACGTGGTGCAACTTTTGAGAGTCCAGAGCCCTGCCAGCAGACAGGACTGACCTATGGAGTGGGGCACCCTCGGACGTGGGGGGCGGGCGTGTCTGAAGTGCTTTTAGAGCAAAGGCAGGTCACGGGCAAAGGCCGGACGGGCTGTGGCAACGGGCCTTGGTCGAGGTTCCCAGGAAAGGCAGGCTGAGCGCAGCCAGCAGGCACAGGCCCTGCCGGACCAGCCTGGGCAGTGGCTGGATGGCATTTCCTGCCAGGCAGCTGGGCAGAGGTGTAGAGGGGGCTGTTGGGGACTGTTCGGGATTGCTGAGCCCAGTTTGCAGGAGTCTGGAAGGCTAGGCAAACGAGAAAGTGTGAAAAAGGTGAAGGCAGGGAGCCAGGACGAAAGGGGGAAGTGCCTGGGAGCCCGCAGCCATATGTACAGCTGTCTAATCCAGTGATGGGAGGCATTCATGGTTGGACAGCTGGATGCTGGAGGCTCACACCTACCATCCCAGCTAGCTACTCAGGAGGCTGAGATCGGAGAATCAGGGTTCCAAGCCAGCCCAGGCAGGAAAGTCTATGAGATTCCTTTGTTTTTGGTCGGTTGTGGGGCTTGAACTCTGGGCCTGAGTGCTGTCCCTCAGCTCTTCAGCTCAAGGCTAGCGCTCTACCACTTAAGCTACGTGCCACTTCCGGTTTTCTGGTGCTTTATTGAAGATAAGATTTTCACGGACTTTCCTGCCCAGGCTAGCTTTGAACCATGATCCTCGGATCTCAGCCTCCTGAGTAGCTACGATTACAGGCGTGAGCTACTGGCACCCTGCTAAGTCTGTGAGATTCTTATCTCCAATTAACCACCAGAAAACTGGAAGTGGTGCTGTGGCTCAAGTGGTAGAGCACTAACCTTGCGCTGAAGAGCTGAGGGACAGTGCTCAGGCCCAGAGTTCAAGTCCCATGACCAACAAAAAAAAAAAGAATTGGTTTAATGGCTGGAGGCTCATGCCTGTAATCCTAGCTACTCAGGAGGTTGAGATTGGAGCATCACAGCACAAAGAGGCTCAGGGACAGCTGAGTTTGGGACCACTCCCACCCCTACTCGCACCCCCTCCCCCCAAAAAGTTTCTTTATTAAAGAGAGGGGTAGGAAGGTGGCTCAGTGGTAGAGTGCTTGCCTCATATCCATGAGGCCCTGGGTTCGATTCCTCAGCACCACATAAGTAGAAAAGGCTGGCAGTGGCGCTGTGGCTCAAGTGGTAGAGCGCTAGCCTTGAGCTGAAGAGCTGAGGGACAGCGCCCAGCCCAGAGTTCAGGCCCCATGACCAACCAAAAAATAAAATGAAATAAAATAAAAAATAAAGAGGCCTGGTGAGCAGCGATGGGGTCAGATGTGAATGTGGCCACCGGGGACTCAGGACTGTGGATACTGCTTTGATAACCTGGTTCGAAGAGTGCCTGACCCTGCCAAGGTGGGGGTTGCTGGATGTCACAGGCTCCCTGTGGCCACCTACAGAATGGACAGAGTGACGTGGAGATGGCTCTGAGCCAGCCACGTCACTGAGGGGCTGCGCAGACATCCCGTGAAGGCCATCCCGTGCTCTGCCACGGCCTAGACCTTGTCATTGCATCGTGTCATCACGTAATGTCGAGAGTTCCTGGGGTCACAGATCCTAGACACTGGGCATTCTGGGAGTGGGGCGGGGGAGCACATGGCGGGGCTGGGTTCTCCTGGGCTGCTGCTGTGGTGCAAGGCTCTATTGCAAGTCCCCTGCTCCCGGCCCCTGCTAGAGGTGGTGGTGAAGCCCAGGTCAGGGCGGAGGGGCCACCATCTGCACAGAAGGTGCAGCAAGCTTGAGCCAAGTCCATAGTCAGGGCTGCCCATGGAGATGGCCTCCCAGTCCTTGGAAGGCCGTCTCTGTAGGGCTGCCATCTGCCCCCGTGCAGGCTGCCAGGCTGGGCGGGGGGGGGGGGGGGGGAGGGAGGGAGTCCCTGGGGCCCAGGGTGTCTGAGGTCCTATCTAACACAGTGTTCTTTCCCTTGATGGAGAGGCCCAGGCTCTGGTGGGGTTTAGTCCGGCGTGTGAGGCTCCTTCCTCTTGCGATGGGTGCCCGTGGCCGCGTCCCAGGCCTGCTCTCACTCAGACGCTCTGCCTTGCTGTTTCAGACAGCCAACGGGAACGTGGAGGCCAAGGTAGTGTGCTTCTACAGGAGGCGGGACATCTCCAGCACCCTCATCGCCCTGGCGGACAAGCATGCGAGTGAGTCTCCGCCCCCTGGGGCGTCCTGCCTGGCGGTGGCCTTCGGGCTCTCAGGTCCTTGCTCTCCGAGGCCACTGTCTGCCAGCCCGTTCTGTCTTCTTGGTTTTGCAGATGGGTTTGGGTGAGGTGCCTGGCAGGTACATAGGCCCTCTGCGTCCTGGCCGGGCCCCCAGGGGTGGGAGCAGATGACCCGGGCCTCCTCTCACGGGCCGGCGGGGACAGCAAGCCTGAGCCCATGGGGTGTGGGACCCCGGAGTTTCGGACCAGACTATTGTACGGCTCTGGTCATGTTAGGAGCTGGGGCTCTCAAAGCAGTGCTCTCAGCTCCTGCGCCCTCCCTCCTGCCTCCAGACTACACGCCCAGCACTGATGAGGGTTTCTGGGCCCTCTGCCTCCCCACCTGACAGCGCGTCCTCCCCTCGGCCCCACCCTGGAGTAGACACACACAGACTGGCAATTTGGGTGCACTGGGGGTCAGCTCTGAAGTAGGACCCAGCGATGTGGGGCTGGACCCTGGCTTTTCAAACCTGTGCCAGGGCCGGTCATCAGGCGGGGTCTGCCGTGTCTGGGCTGTGGGCAGCCCAGCAAACTGCAGGGTGGCTGAGGCTGCACATCCAGGCGCATGGCCTGTGCCTGTCCCTGGGGCTCAGGGCCCACTCCTGACCCCGCGGCTCTGTTCCTCCTGGATGGAGGGCAGGACGCAGGGCTCCTGTGGTGGCCATTGGTTGGGGGGTAGGCCCTGGGCATCTGTTGCCTTTGCCTCTAGCAGGACTGTGAGAGGCAGGGTACCCAGGCCTACTGGCCTCCTCCCCACCTGTGGAGTGGGGGAGGGGGAGGGCGCCTTCCTAGGCCTGAGGAACGAGCCAGAGTGGACCGTTGGAGGCTCCTGGTGTCCTGTTGAGGGTTCCCAGCAACCTGGGAGGCTGTTCATAGCCTTACAGGGACCCCGCGTTCAATCCTGCCGACCCCAGGGCCTGTGTGCTACGGCCTGCAGGCTCAAGGCTCTGGTCTGCGGCCTGAGCCACCGTGTGCTCATTCCGGGGGTGAGAAGCCCCATGGCTGGCGGAACCTTGCTGCGGGGGCAGGGAGCATCCTCCACCTGGAGGAGGGTGTGTGGTCGTGCTTCCGGGGGGTGGGGTGCTGGGCCGGGCCGAGTGCCCGCCAGGACCCTCCAGAAGGCAGGCTGGGGCTCGGCAGAGCGTGGTGGAGCTGGGGTGCTGGGCCGGGCCGAGTGCCCGCCAGGACCCTCCAGAAGGCAGGCTGGGGCTCGGCAGAGCGTGGTGGAGCTGGGGTGCTGGGCCGGGCCGAGTGCCCGCCAGGACCCTCCAGAAGGCAGGCTGGGGCTCGGCAGAGCGTGGTGGAGCTGGGGTGCTGGGCCGGGCCCTGCGCTGGTCTTCTCAGGACTAGCTTTGCAGCTCTCTGTCCTAAAGATCTGCCCCTCGGAGGGCTCATTGGAGCTGGAGCCGGAGGGCCCGGGGCTGCTTTGACAGGGTCTGTGCCGCTGTGGGCTTCTCCTGGGCCTGAGGAGCCAGAGCCCATGGGGTCTCCTGGCAGTGCTCTGCCTGTCCCCAGCCATGCCGACCAGCCTCGGGGGTGAGCAGGGGCCACCTTCAGTGTGGGGCTGCTGGGTGTGTGTCCAGGCCGTGACAAAGGCCTTGAGACCGCTGGGTGTGTGTCCAGGCCGTGACAGAGGTCTTGAGACCGCTGGGTGTGTGTCCAGGCTGTGACAGAGGCCTTGAGACCGCTGGGTGTGTGTCCAGGCCCTGATGGAGATCTTGAGACTGCTGGGTGGGTGTCCAGGCTGTGACGGAGATCTTGAGACCGCTGGGTGTGTGTCCAGGCCGTGATGGAGGTCTTGAGACCGCTGGGTGTGTGTCCAGGCCCTGATGGAGGTCTTGAGACCGCTGGGTGGGTGTCCAGGCCCTGATGGAGGTCTTGAGACCGCTGGGTGTGTGTCCAGGCCCTGATGGAGGTCTTGAGACTGCTGGGTGGGTGTCCAGGCCCTGATGGAGGTCTTGAGACTGCTGGGTGTGTGTCCAGGCCGTGACAGAGATCTTGAGACCACTGGATGTGTGTCCAGACTGACAGAGGTCTTGAGACTGCTGGGTGTGTGTCCAGGCCCTGATAGAGGTCTTGAGACTGCTGGGTGTGTGTCCAGGCCCTGATGGAGGTCTTGAGACCGCTGGGTGGGTGTCCAGGCCCTGATGGAGGTCTTGAGACCGCTGGGTGTGTGTCCAGGCCGTGACAGAGATCTTGAGACCACTGGGTGTGTGTCCAGACTGACAGAGGTCTTGAGACCGCTGGGTGGGTGTCCAGACTGACAGAGGTCTTGAGACCGCTGGGTGTGTGTCCAGACTGACAGAGGTCTTGAGACCGCTGGGTGTGTGTCCAGGCCGTGACGGAGATCTTGAGACCGCTGGGTGTGTGTCCAGGCCGTGACGGAGATGTTGAGACTGCTAGGTGTGTGTCCAGGCCCTGATGGAGGTCTTGAGACCGCTGGGTGTGTATCCAGGCCCTGATGGAGGTCTTGAGACCGCTGGGTGTGTGTCCAGGCCCTGATGGAGGTCTTGAGACCGCTGGGTGTGTGTCCAGGCCCTGATGGAGGTCTTGAGACTGCTGGGTGTGTGTCCAGGCCCTGATGGAGGTCTTGAGACTGCTGGGTGTGTCCAGGCCGTGACGGAGATGTTGAGACCGCTGGGTGTGTATCCAGGCCCTGATGGAGGTCTTGAGACCGCTGGGTGTGTGTCCAGGCCCTGATGGAGGTCTTGAGACCGCTGGGTGTGTGTCCAGGCCCTGATGGAGGTCTTGAGACTGCTGGGTGGGTGTCCAGGCCCTGATGGAGGTCTTGAGACCGCTGGGTGGGTGTCCAGGCCCTGATGGAGGTCTTGAGACCGCTGGGTGTGTGTCCAGGCCCTGATGGAGGTCTTGAGACTGCTGGGTGTGTGTCCAGGCCCTGATGGAGGTCTTGAGACTGCTGGGTGTGTGTCCAGGCCCTGATGGAGGTCTTGAGACCGCTGGGTGGGTGTCCAGGCTGACAGAGGCCTTGAGACTTGGTGGCAGTTGAGTGACTGCTTCAGCAGCCTGCCTGGTTAGTGGACGGGTGGGTGAGTGGCCAAGGATGATGCTTATCCACAGTCCCCATGTCCAGGTCCAGGTCCAGCCCATCTAAATGCAGGAGATAAGGCTCCTGGGCTTCCCTCGGTCACCACAGGGGGTCAGTGGGTAGTGAGAAGCCCTGGCAGGCTGGGCGCGGCTGGGACCTGCTGACAGGTGTGCCTCTTGTGGCAGCACTGGGCAGCCTTGAGCCACAGTAGGGAGCACTGCTACACATCCCCCCCCCCCCCCCCCGGGAGGCGGGGACAGGCCTAAGGGGGATGTTCTTCAGCACCAGATAGTGGGCAGAAGCCAGGCCACCCAAGGTGCCTGCCAGGCCTTGGTGCATAGCCCCGTGAGCCTTCAGTGGTCAGTACCCATCAAGGTGGAAGCCTCTCCCTCATCAGTCTTGACATCCTGTCCTGGCGCCCGGGGCGGGGCTGGTTCTGGACTGGTGGTGGGGCGTGCGTGCGTGCGTGTGGGAAGGTGGGAGCTGCTTCCAGGGTGGGGCTTGGGCAGCCATCTGAAGAGGCCTGGGCCCTGACTTGGCCAGAGTTGGGTGGGTGGATGCTGAAGCCCTGGTGGCCTTCAGCTGGTGGATTCTGCCCCCCACGGGGAGGCCTGCGGCCCCTGTGTCTCCTCAGTCCGGGCCCTGGGCAGGGAGCAAGCAGCCGGCACTGGCGCTAACCTGCCATCCGGCGCTGTCTGTCTGTTATGTAGCCCTGTCAGTCTGCTATAGAGCCGGACCGGGGGCGGACACCGGCGAGGAAGGTAAGAGCCGACCTCTGTGAGCGGGCGTCCTTGCGCCTGCGTCCCTGGGCGGGGCGGTGACGCGTGACGGATGGAAGCTAGCGGCCGCCTGCATGCCCGTTCCCGCGCCCCCTGCTGGCTAGCTGTGAGGGGCTCCCGCGCCCGTGTGTCCCTGCCCTGCCCTGCCCTCCAGGGCGTCCGTGTAGAGTGGCTGTGCTAGGCTGCGCAGGGCCGCCAGGCCTGCCGAGGGTACCTGCCCTGCCTAGGACGCACAATGGCTGCCCTTCTTCCTTCCTCTCTGGCCTGCTGCCTCCACAGCAGGCCCCGGAGGCTGTGTCCTCCCGACCGCGGCGGGATAGGCAGGGGACATGCCAGGCCGGGAGGCGGCCTTCCTGTGCCCAGTACCCTGCACGTGGGGGGTCGGGCTCGGGGCTGGGACTGCAGCTGGTCTCTGGGGCCGTGCTGACGGGCCTCTGTGTCCTTCAGGGGAGGTGGAGGAGGAGGTGGAGAACCCTGAGATGGTTGACCTGCCGGAGAAGCTGAAGCACCAGCTGCGCCACCGGGAGCTGTTCCTCTCCCGGCAGCTGGAGTCTCTGCCTGCCACGCACATCAGGTAGTTTCCATAGTCCCCCTCCCACGTCAGGTAGATCCCACAGCCCCTCCACACGTCAGGTAGATCCCACAGTCCCCCTCCCACGTCAGGTAGATCCCACAGTCCCCCTCCCACGTCAGGTAGATCCCACAGTCCCTCCACACGTCAGGTAGATCCCACAGCCCCTCCCAAGTCAGGTAGATCCCACAGTCCCTCCAGAGGTCAGGTAGATCCCACAGTCCCTCCACACGTCAGGTAGATCCCACAGTCCCTCCCACGTCAGGTAGATCCCACAGCCCCTCCACATGTCAGATAGATCCCATAGCCCCTCCCACGTCAGGTAGATCCCACAGCCCCTCCCACGTCAGGTAGATCCCACAGTCCCTCCAGAGGTCAGGTAGATCCCACAGTCCCTCCACACGTCAGGTAGATCCCACAGTCCCTCCAGAGGTCAGGTAGATCCCACAGTCCCTCCCACGTCAGGTAGATCCCACAGTCCCTCCACACGTCAGGTAGATCCCACAGCCCCTCCAGAGGTCAGGTAGATCCCACAGTCCCTCCCACTTCAGGTAGATCCCACAGCCCCCCTCCACACGTCAGGTAGATCCCACAGTCCCTCCAGAGGTCAGGTAGATCCCACAGTCCCTCCCACGTCAGGTAGATCCCACAGTCCCTCCACACGTCAGGTAGATCCCACAACCCCTCCCACATCAGGTAGATCCCACAGTCCCTCCACACGTCAGGTAGATCCCACAGTCCCTCCCACGTCAGGTAGATCCTATAGTCCCTCCCACGTCAGGTAGATCCCACAGTCCCCCTCCCACGTCAGGTAGATCCCACAGCCCCTCCCACGTCAGGTAGATCCCACAGCCCCTCCACACGTCAGGTAGATCCCACAGCCCCTCCACATGTCAGATAGATCCCATAGCCCCTCCCACGTCAGGTAGATCCCACAGTCCCTCCAGAGGTCAGGTAGATCCCACAGTCCCTCCCACTTCAGGTAGATCCCACAGCCCCTCCACATGTCAGATAGATCCCACAGTCCCTCCAGAGGTCAGGTAGATCCCACAGTCCCTCCCACGTCAGGTAGATCCCACAGTCCCTCCAGAGGTCAGGTAGATCCCACAGTCCCTCCCACGTCAGGTAGATCCCACAGTCCCTCCAGAGGTCAGGTAGATCCCACAGTCCCTCCCACGTCAGGTAGATCCCACAGTCCCTCCACACGTCAGGTAGATCCCACAGCCCCTCCAGAGGTCAGGTAGATCCCACAGTCCCTCCCACTTCAGGTAGATCCCACAGCCCCCCTCCACACGTCAGGTAGATCCCACAGCCCCTCCACACGTCAGGTAGATCCCACAGCCCCTCCACACGTCAGGTAGATCCCACAGTCCCTCCCACGTCAGGTAGATCCCACAGTCCCTCCCACGTCAGGTAGATCCCACAGCCCCTCCACACGTCAGGTAGATCCCACAGTCCCCCTCCACACATCAAGTAGATCCCACAGCCCCTCCACAAGTCAGGTAGATCCCACAGCCCCTCCACACGTCAGGTAGATCCCACAGTCCCTCCACACGTCAGGTAGATCCCACAGCCCCCCTCCACACGTCAGGTAGATCCCACAGTCCCTCCAGAGGTCAGGTAGATCCCACAGTCCCTCCCACTTCAGGTAGATCCCACAGTCCCTCCACACGTCAGGTAGATCCCACAGCCCCTCCCACGTCAGGTAGATCCCACAGCCCCTCCACACGTCAGGTAGATCCCACAGCCCCTCCACACGTCAGGTAGATCCCACAGCCCCTCCACACGTCAGGTAGATCCCACAGTCCCTCCCACGTCAGGTAGATCCCACAGTCCCTCCAGAGGTCAGGTAGATCCCACAGCCCCTCCCACGTCAGGTAGATCCCACAGCCCCCCTCCACACGTTAGGTAGATCCCACAGTCCCTCCCACTTCAGGTAGATCCCACAGTCCCTCCACACGTCAGGTGGATCCCACAGCCCCTCCCACATCAGGTAGATCCCACAGTCCCTCCACACGTCAGGTAGATCCCACAGTCCCTCCAGAGGTCAGGTAGATCCCACAGTCCCTCCCACATCAGGTAGATCCCACAGCCCCTCCACACGTCAGGTAGATCCCACAGCCCCTCCACATGTCAGATAGATCCCATAGTCCCTCCCACGTCAGGTAGATCCCACAGTCCCTCCAGAGGTCAGGTAGATCCCACAGTCCCTCCCACTTCAGGTAGATCCCACAGCCCCTCCACATGTCAGATAGATCCCACAGTCCCTCCAGAGGTCAGGTAGATCCCACAGTCCCTCCCACGTCAGGTAGATCCCACAGTCCCTCCAGAGGTCAGGTAGATCCCACAGTCCCTCCCACGTCAGGTAGATCCCACAGCCCCTCCACACGTCAGGTAGATCCCACAGTCCCCCTCCACACATCAGGTAGATCCCACAGCCCCTCCACACGTCAGGTAGATCCCACAGCCCCTTCACACGTCAGGTAGATCCCACAGCCCCTCCACACGTCAGGTAGATCCCACAGTCCCTCCCATGTCAGGTAGATCCCACAGCCCCTCCAGAGGTCAGGTAGATCCCACAGTCCCTCCCACTTCAGGTAGATCCCACAGCCCCCCTCCACACGTCAGGTAGATCCCACAGCCCCTCCACACGTCAGGTAGATCCCACAGCCCCTCCACACGTCAGGTAGATCCCACAGTCCCTCCCACGTCAGGTAGATCCCACAGTCCCTCCCACGTCAGGTAGATCCCACAGCCCCTCCACACGTCAGGTAGATCCCACAGTCCCCCTCCACACATCAAGTAGATCCCACAGCCCCTCCACACGTCAGGTAGATCCCACAGCCCCTCCACACGTCAGGTAGATCCCACAGTCCCTCCACACGTCAGGTAGATCCCACAGCCCCCCTCCACACGTCAGGTAGATCCCACAGTCCCTCCAGAGGTCAGGTAGATCCCACAGTCCCTCCCACTTCAGGTAGATCCCACAGTCCCTCCACACGTCAGGTAGATCCCACAGCCCCTCCCACGTCAGATAGATCCCACAGCCCCTCCACACGTCAGGTAGATCCCACAGCCCCTCCACACGTCAGGTAGATCCCACAGCCCCTCCCACGTCAGGTAGATCCCACAGTCCCTCCAGAGGTCAGGTAGATCCCACAGCCCCTCCCACGTCAGGTAGATCCCACAGCCCCTCCACACGTCAGGTAGATCCCACAGCCCCTCCACACGTCAGGTAGATCCCACAGTCCCTCCCATGTCAGGTAGATCCCACAGCCCCTCCAGAGGTCAGGTAGATCCCACAGCCCCTCCACACGTCAGGTAGATCCCACAGTCCCCCTCCACACATCAGGTAGATCCCACAGCCCCTCCACACGTCAGGTAGATCCCACAGCCCCTTCACACGTCAGGTAGATCCCACAGCCCCTCCACACGTCAGGTAGATCCCACAGTCCCTCCCATGTCAGGTAGATCCCACAGCCCCTCCAGAGGTCAGGTAGATCCCACAGCCCCTCCACACGTCAGGTAGATCCCACAGTCCCCCTCCACACATCAGGTAGATCCCACAGCCCCTCCCACGTCAGGTAGATCCCACAGTCCCTCCACACGTCAGGTAGATCCCACAGCCCCTCCACACGTCAGGTAGATCCCACAGTCCCTCCCACGTCAGGTAGATCCCACAGCCCCTCCACACGTCAGGTAGATCCCACAGCCCCTCCCACGTCAGGTAGATCCCACAGCCCCTCCACACGTCAGGTAGATCCCACAGCCCCTCCACACGTCATGTAGATCCCACAGTCCCTCCCACGTCAGGTAGATCCTACAGTCCCTCCCACGTCAGGTAGATCCCACAGTCCCCCTCCCACGTCAGGTAGATCCCACAGCCCCTCCAGAGGTCAGGTAGAGCCGCTGACCCCCATGGACATCGGGCAGCTCCCAGGGCCCCACCCTGGGCTGCTTGCCGGCCCTGCCACCTGCCGCCCTCTCTTCCAGGGGCAAGTGCAGTGTCACCCTGCTCAACGAGACCGAGTCGCTCAAGTCCTACCTGGAGCGTGAGGTGAGGCCTTCCTCCTGCTGCTCTGGTGGCCCCTGTGCTTGCCCTGGCCCTGTGGGCCTCAGTGGCCCACCGTGACCTGAAGCTGGCATGGGGTGGGGGCGGCAGGGTTGGGTCGGGAGGGTCTTTCTGGAAGTGACTGATGGACGTGGCTGGGCAGGGCCTCTCTGTCCCTGCAGAGCGCGGCTGCTGGCCCCCTCTGGCCCAGCCTCGGCCCTGGGGCAGTTAGGCAGACAGTCCTGTGTTACCTGCCACATGCCACCCCTAAGTAGTGACAACGTGAATATCCCTAGATAGTGCCATCTATCCCTGGGAGGTCAAGTCCCTAGAGCTGCTGTGAACACACTAGTGTGACAGCCACAGCTCTGAGGCCAGGGAGGCCAGGATGCTGGTCTGGCTGTTACAGGGAAGCCCTATGATTGAGGTCAGGTAAGGGCAGGTGCTGAGCCAGCGCAGGCTCACCTGGAAGAAGCCGGCTCTCCACATGTTCCCAGGAGGCGCCCTTAGGCCAGACCCCAAGGGAGCCAGTCGTCTCAGTCTGTCCGGAGTTCAGCTCGGTGCGGGACTCGGGCCCCTAGTGTAGTGGGCAGTGTGTCCTCTGCAGCAGCTCCACCACACATTCTTGGCCACAGGCCAGCTCCCGCCACACAGAGCCCAGAAACAGACAGGCTGCAGGCACAGGCCATGGAGCCCAGAGCTGCCCAGGGGCCTCGGCCCGCAGTCGGAGCAGCCACGGAGACGAGCCCATGAGCTATGCTCTGGGAAGGGCCTTTGACAAGTCTCCACTAGAAAACAAAGTACTGCCTGTTTTCGGAAGGACCCCGGGGCGGCTCCACAGAGGTGTAACCCTGGAGAAAGAGACCTCATTTGTGAACCGAGGGCTGTTTGTGGAGTGGCGGTGGTGACCGGCCTGACAGGACAGGGGGCTCAGGGACGGCCCAAGCCGTGTTGCTGATGATGTGGCTCACGGTGGCAGCCCTATGTGTCCTGCCTGCTGCCTTCCACTTGACGGTTGTTCTGAAATGATGGGAAAGCCCGCGCTACAAACCCTGAGCCCAAAGATGCTCTCCATACTGGAGACGCTCCTTCTGCTTGCCAGTGGTCTGAGCAGCTCCCTGCTGGACACATCCACCACGGTCCAGGCAAGTCCGCGCGGAGCACCAGGCCAGCAGCTCTGGCCGTTGTACCTTGCCTAGACCTTGGTCCTTAGAGCTGGCGTCCTGAGGAGCAAGAGCAGGAAGGGAGCCCAGCCGTCTGGCCATCCAGGCTCAGGCTGCTCCGGCACGGAGCCAACTTCTGCTTCTGTAACTTAAAGAAAACAGCAGAAGCCGGCGCCGGTGGCTCATGCCTGTCATCCTAGCTACCATGATCTGAGGATCACGGTTCAAAGCCAGCCCAGACAGGAAAGTCCATGAGACTCTTATCTCTAATGAACCACCAGAAAACGGGAAGCGCTGTGGCTCAAGTGGTAGAGCGCTCGCCTTGAGCTGAAGAGCTGAGAGACAGCGCCCAGGTCCAGAGTTCAAGCCCCACAACTGACCGAAAAAAAAGAGCAGGCTCTGAATGAGTGCCGGCTGGACTGGGAGCCTGGGCAGGCCAGGTGTCACGCCGCCACTCCCCGCTGCATGGCTGTCGGTGCTAGAGAAGAGGATAGGCAAATAAGAAGCCAGAGGAAGCCAGGAGCGGGCGCAGCAGAGCGGCCGGCGCTCTAGCTTGTGGGGGCTTAGAGAGCTGTGAAAGGCCGTGTCGCGCCCGCCCCTGAGGAAGCCAGGGCTAAGGTTTGAGGCAAACAGACTTGAAGGCAGCTCAGGCCGCCAGGAGAAGCTGCAGCCACTGCTGTGGTGGCCTGCTCTGCCAGACTGTTCTGTACCCCTGGCATACTTTCATGCCTGTGACTCTCCTGGCTCAGGCCCTCCCGGCTCTCACTGCGTGTCTGTGGAAGCTTCTGCCCTGGGTCCTGGGTCATACACAGGCGTGTCCCTGCTTCCCGGTGCCACGGCCCACGCCAGCCTTCCGGAGCAGCCCGCAGGAGCTGAGGGCTTCTCTGACAGCTCTGTCTTGTGTGTGGTGTTTTTCAGGATTTCTTCTTCTATTCTCTAGTCTACGACCCACAGCAGAAGACCCTTCTGGCCGATAAAGGGGAGATTCGAGTGGGGAACCGGTACCAGGCTGACATCACTGACTTGCTGAAAGAAGGTGGGTGTGGGTGGCGCTCGGGGACCTGAAGCGCTCGCATCGGGCCCTGCCGCGCGCGCGGACAGCTGCCTGCGTGGGGGCGTGGAGGGCTCAGCCTGGCTGCAGGCTCCAGACCCCAGAGGGGCGCGGGTCCAGCCTGTCGCCACCACCGGCATGGCCATGTGTGGCCCCTCCGTAGTCTGCCCTGAACTGTGTGTTGTGCGCGCGTCTGAGTGGCACTGGAGAGTGAACACGGCCTGGTCCCTCGCCCTTGATTTTTTGAGACAGGCTCACAGTGTGTCCCGGGCTGGCCTTGAACTTGTGGTGGATTACGGCTGACGCCTCCATTCTTGCTCGCTACGCGCTCATTGACATATTCCTCACGCGTCGTGTTGTCCCGTACTTGTTTGTTCTTTGACATGATGTCTCCCTAGATAGTCCAGGCTAGTCTTGGACCCTTTGCCTCCTGCTTCAATCTTTCAAGTTAGAGTTGCAGGTGTGCTCATTACCCTTGTATTGCGTGTGTGTGTGTGTCAGTCCAGGGTCTTGGACTTGCTAGGCAGGTGCTGTACTACCTCAGCCAGGCCCTCCACCTGTTCTCACATTTTGTGCCTGGGTCAGCATCAGATTGCATTCCTCCCGCCTGTACTTATTTGGGGTTGTAGGCATGCTCTACTGTAGCTGGTTTAGTGGTTGAAATAGTGTCTTATTTAATTTTTGTGCAGGCTGACCTTGAACTACAATCCTCTCATCTCCCTGCTTGGTTTATACGTGTACTCATTGTCTTTGTATGTGTACTCATTGTTTTTGTTAGTCGTGGGCCTTGAACTCTGGGCCTGGGTGCTGTCCCTCAGCTCTTCAGCTCAAGGCGAGCACTCTACCACTAGAGCCACAGCACCACTTCCGGTTTTCGGGTGGTTCATTGGAGATAAGAGTCTCATGGAGTTTTCCTGCCTGGGCTGGCTTTGAATCACAGTCCTCAGATCTCAGCCTCCTGAGCATAGCTAGATTACAGGCTTGAGCCACAGGTGCCCAGCTTGCTTGCCTGCCTGCCTGCCTTTCTTTCTCTCTCTCTCTTTCTTTCCCTTCTTCCTTCCTTCCTCTCTCTCTCTCTCTTTCTTTCCTTCCTTCCTTCCTCTCTCTCTCTCTCTCTTTCTTTCCTTTCTTCCTTCCTTCCTCTCTCTCTCTCTCTCTCTCTTTCTTTCTTTCCCTTTTTTTTTTGGGTCCGGTTGTGGGGCCTGAACTCTGGGCCTGGGCACTGTCCCTCAGCTCTTCAGCTCAAGGCTAGCGCTCTACCACTTGACCCACAGCGCCACTTCTGGCTTTTTTCTTATGTGGTGCTGAGAAATCAAACCCAGGGCCTCAGGCATGCAAGGCAAGCGCTCTACCACTGAGCCACCTTCCCAGCCCTCCCTTTTTTTTTTTTTTTTTTTTTTTTGGTCAGTCGTGGGGCTTGAACCCTGGGCCTGGGCAATGTCCCTCAGCTCTTCAGCTCAAGGCTAGTGCTCTACCACTTGAGCCACAGTGCCATTTTCGGTTTTCTAGTGGTTTATTGGAGATAAGTCTCACGGAGTTTCCTGCCCCAGCTAGCTTTGAACCATGATCCTCAGATCTCAGCCTCCTGAGTAGCTAGGATTACAGGTGTGAGCCACCAGCGCCCGGCTTGCATGTCTTTCTTTCTTTCCTTCCTTCCTTCCTTCCTTCCTTCCTTCCTTCCTTCCTTCCTTCCTTCCTTCCTTCCTTCCTTTCTTCCTTTCTTTCTTTCTTTCTTTCTTTCTTTCTTTCTTTCTTTCTTTCTTTCTTTCTTTCTTTCTTGTCCTGAGACTTGAATTTAGGGCCTGGGCACTATCCCTGAGCTTCTTTTGCTCAAGGCTACTGCTCTACCACTTGAACTACAGCTCTACTTAGAGCTTTTTTAGAAATTTAGTGGAGATAAGAGTCTCACAGACTTTCCTGCCCAGGCTGGCTTCAAACTATCATCCTCAGAGCCAGGTGCCTGTGGCTCTTGCCTGTCATCCTAGCTACTCAGGAGGCTAAGATCTGAGGATCACGGTTCAAAGCCAGCCCGGGCAGGAAAAGTCTGTGAGACTCTTATCTCTAATGAACCACCAGAAAACGGGAAGTGGAGCTGTGACTCAAGCTGTAGAGCGCTAGCCTTGAGCTGAAGAGCTGAGGAACAGCGCCCAGGCCCAGAGTTCAAGCCCCACGACCGACAAAAAAAAACAAAAAAACCCATGGTTCTCAGATCTCAGTCTCTTTAGTGACTAGGCATGAGTCCCTGGTTCATCACACTTTTTTTTTTTAAAGTTGGTCATGGAGCTTGAGCTCAGGGCCTGGGCGCTGTGTCTAAGCTCTTTGTGCTCAAAGCTAGCACTTGAGCCACAGTACTACTTCCAGCTTTTTCTTAGTAGTTTAGTGGAGATTAGAGTCTTAAGAACTTTTCTGCCCCGGCTGACTTTGAACTCCGATCCTCATATCTCAGCCTCTGAGTAGCTAGGACCACAGGTGTGATCCACTGGTGCCTGGCTACACTTTGTTTTTTGTCAGTCCTGGGGCTTGAACTCTGGGCCTAGGCTCTGTCCCTGAGTTATTGTGATCAAAGTTAGTGCTCTACCACTTGAGCCACAGCTCCACTTCTGGCTCTTTGGAGATTAGTTGGTTAATTGGAGATAAGAGTCTCACATACTTTCCTTCCCTGGGTTGGCTTAAAGCCATGATCCTCAAATCTCAGCCTCCTGAATAGCTCACATTACAGGTGTGAGTCATCGGCACCCAGCTTCATTACATTTTTAAAGCCCTATTTTTCAATCGATCAAGTCAATCAATCAATCAGTAAAGTTACTTTGAATGAGTCCTGGGGTTTTGTGTTTTGCCGTGAGGAGCAGCTAGGGGGCAGCTGTGTCCATTGGCTGACCTGCAGTTCTCTGAGGCTGGCAGGTCTCTTCCAGTGTCTGTCCTGTTGGTGCATTTTGTCCGCAAGCCCCTGGCCTGCATCTGCTGAGCTCGGGCAGCTCCTGGGCTCAGAGCTCTGCCTCAGCGTCCTGGCCTGGCCTCTAGCATGCGGGAGGCGGGGGCGGGGGGGGGGGGGGGGAGAGAGTGCGTGCATGTATGTCTGTGTCATCGTAGCTTACGGGTTGTTCTGTGATGGGTGCTTTGTGGTGGTGGCTGGGCTCCGGCGTGGGCCGGCGGTCCTGGATGTGCATTCAGACCTTCAAACCAATGTTGGGGCTGACTTGGAGGGGTGGGACTCCCCCAGTTTGGCTCTGTGGGGTGTGAGCCCAGCGATCCTCACCCCCGCTGCGGTCTTCAGCGCCTCCCGTTCTGCTCGGCTTCTGCAGTCCAGGCTGCCTGCCGCGCCCCTCCCCCCCACTCTGCTGCTCACCTCTGAGGCCTCTCACGCTGGGCTGCATCGGTCTCCCGAGTGGCTAGTCACCTTCTTGGTGAACTGTGATGTGTCCAGCCCCACTGTTCCTCCGTAGCTCATCCCCACTGCTGCCCGGCTCTTTGTAAGCACGGGATCAGACCTGTCAGGGCTCTCTTGGGCCCAGAAGGGCTTTGTCAGGTCTGATCTCCTCCCTCCATCTTCTCACATTGAACCCTGGCCTCTTGAGCCAGCCTACCCTGCAGTCCCTTCCCTCGAGTCTGTTCCCTGCGAGGACAGCCTCCTTTTGTGGGCTCGGAGCCAGAGCAGCAGTGCTCCTCTGTAGCTGGCCCTGCTACCTGGAGTGTGGTGCTGCCGTGGCCTGGCTGCGCCTGCTCACTGTAGAGCCCCGGGAGATTCACCCCGTGGCCTTGGGCTGACCTGGAGGCCAGCAGGTTCCTACAGGCACAGGGGCTGCAGCTTGACTACCACCAGCCCCTTCCGGCCCAGAATGGGGTCCCAGTTGGAGCTCCAGCAGCACAGCAGTGGCCTCGCCCTCTCTCCACCCTGCAGGCTCCAGCTCGCGTGCCTGTGGGTGGAGGGGTGCTGGCCGCGCTAATTGGTGTCCCTTTTGAGTGACAGGAAAGGTAACTGAGAAGGCAGCCGAGAGCTCCGCCGCTCCTCCGGGCCTGGTCTCCAGAATTTACAGCGTCCAGAGCTGGAGCCCTGCTTCCCTAAGCGGGGATTTCAGAGCAGAGTGCACACCAGGAGGGCTCCCACTCAGTGCTAGAAAAACCCACTGCACTGACTGCACAGCCTGGTGCCCCAGAACCCTGCCATGGACCAGGGCCTCGGGGCATGGGTTGGAGGTTTAAGTCTTCTACCCTCCAGGTAGCGTCTCCTGGGTCTCTAGTGTGCCAGGTATTCCTCCTGGGAGTGGTCCTTAGAGACTGGCCAGTCAGGAGGCCTGAACTTCTCCAGACAGACAGACGCCCTCCGGCCAGGCTTAGGAGCCGTCTACTCTCTGTAGGTCAGATGTGTCCAGCTCTACTTCATCTGGAGAGCTGCCCCAGTGCCCTGACCTAGGACCCCATACCCTCAGGTCCCAGTCAGGCTGTCCTGTCACAGAGGGCATCACTGCCAAGGGTCAGAGGGAAATTGATTAGGCCCCTTGTGTAACCTGATACCTCATACTCTCACTAAATTACTGATGTGGCCCTTGGATGGACAGTCAGACGGGGGTAGGGGGTGGAAGAGGGGTGTGGGATTTCTCCAGGCCTCCCCAGACTCAGGCCTGGCCTGGTTGGGGACTCTCTCCTGAGGGCTTCTCTGGAAGCCCTGACTTGGAAATAGAGATCATTCCACTTCCCAAACTCTTGGAACAGGAAGGCCTGAGAACCCTGTACGAAAGAGACGGCCAGGCGGTCCTTCAGACACCAAAGGGTCCCGGACATGAGTCTGGATCTGGTGGTGTACCTGAGGAGTGATGCTAGCTGAGAGCTCACCCCGGCCCGCAGACCCTGACCACACCCACCCCTCCCCCTCCCGGCTGCTCCCAACCCCAGGTGTCCCGGGCTCAGGCTGGAAGCGTGTGGTGTGGAAAGGAGCAGGGAGCAGGCAGAGCCGTGGCTGAGGTGGCCTTCTCGAAGCCTGCACTGGCCGTACTGAAGCGCTTCTCCCTGTAGGTGAGGAGGATGGCCGTGACCAGTCCAAACTGGAGACCAAGGTCTGGGAGGCACACAACCCCCTTGTGGACAAGCAGATTGACCAGTTTCTGGTGGTGGCGCGGTGAGTACTGGCGTCCAGCGTTTTTGGCCCTAGGGCGTGAGCACAGGACAGCCGGAACCTCACAGTGAATTTGGACGCGGCGCTGCCCTGTCTCCCTGCTGCTGGCCTTTCCCTAGTTGAGCCCTGTGGTGGTTCCCATAGCCCGGACTTCCCCCAGGCTGCTTGGCCCCTCAGGGCCACTTCACACCGAGGCTGGGCAGGCTGGGCCCAGGGAGGTGCTTCTCCCAGAGATGGGCTAGGACCTGTCAGAGGAGGTCCCTGGCCGCCAAGGGTGCTGTGTTGGCTGCTGGGCGAAAGGAAGTGCAACTGGTGCCTCCTAGACATGAGGAATCAAGAGCGCCCAGAGCGGCTGCGGGACCCAGCAAGGCCCGCTGCCTCCTCCCCGCGCCCAGAGCGGCTGCGGGACCCAGGAAGGCCCGCTGCCTCCTCCCCGCGCCCAGAGCGGCTGCGGGACCCAGGAAGGCCCGCTGCCTCCTCCCCGGGGCCCAGAGCGGCTGCGGGACCCAGGAAGGCCCGCTGCCTCCTCCCCGGGGCCAGAGCGGCTGCGGGACCCAGGAAGGCCCGCTGCCTCCTCCCCGGGGCCCAGAGCGGCTGCGGGACCCAGGAAGGCCCGCTGCCTCCTCCCCGGGGCCCAGAGCGGCTGCGGGACCCAGGAAGGCCCGCTGCCTCCTCCCCGGGGCCCAGAGCGGCTGCGGGACCCAGGAAGGCCTGCTGCCTCCTCCCCGGGGCCGCTCCGGCAGGGGCGGTAGCTGACATGCGCATGTGTGTTCTGCACTTTCCCCACCCCGACACCCGCCTGGTACCCAGGCCCGCGGCCCCGCAGGGGGTGTGGAGCCTGGCCCTGGGGGGTGCAGCACGCCTCTTTGGCTCGTCCAAATGGTGGTCAGGGTGTGTCTCACCCCCAGGTCTGTGGGCACCTTCGCCCGGGCCCTGGACTGCAGCAGCTCCGTGAGACAGCCCAGCCTGCACATGAGCGCCGCCGCCGCCTCCCGAGACATCACGCTGGTGAGCCGCCCGCTCCCGCCGCCCCGCGGCCCGTCCCCCTGCCCTGCGCCCAGCTGACCCCTGCTGTCTCGCAGTTCCACGCCATGGACACGCTGCACAAGAGCATCTACGACATCTCCAAGGCCATCTCGGCCCTCGTGCCGCAGGGCGGGCCGGTGCTCTGCAGAGACGAGATGGAGGAGTGGTCCGCCTCAGAAGCCAACCTTTTCGAGGAAGCCTTGGAAAAATACGGGAAAGACTTCACAGACATTCAGCAAGATTTTGTAAGTGCCAGGGGCATGCAGGGCTGGGAAGCGCCGGTGCTCATCCTGGTGTGGCCTGGCCTCTGTGGCCTGTGTGGCTGCGTGGTGCCACAGTGTGGCCTGTGTCTGCGAGAGAGCAGAGGTGCCCCCCCCCCCCCCGTGCTCTCCCGCTGAACCTGCTTGGTCAGTCCCAGGCAGCATCGCTCCACGGGGAAGGGCCTGCCCAGGGCCTCAGGGAAGGGTGGCACTGCCACCACCAGTCAGGTGCCGCCTCCAGAAAGCAGAAAAGGGCGTATAGTGCGGAGGGTGCCAGCACTGGCGGGAGGCAGGCCTGTGAACAGCCGAGGGGAAGCCCGGCTGGCTCGGAGGTTGTAGGGGACTGTTGTTCAGGGACAGTGCTGGCCGCTGCCCAGCCAGCCAGAGAACCACTGGCCCGTGCCCGGCAGGTTCACATGTAAAGTATCCAAAAGGCTACAAAAATGAGCCGGGTGCCAGTGGCTCACACCTGTAATCCTAGCTACTCAGGAGGCAGAAAAGTCACCGTGAGACTTATCTCCAATTAACCCTCAAAAACTCGCTGTGGAGCTGTGGCTTAAAGTGGTAGTGTGCTAGCCTTGATGAGAGGTGCTCAGGGATGGCACCTAGGCCCCGGTTCAAGACCCAGGACCAACCAAAATAAAGCCAAACTCTCAGACAAAAAGTAGAGTAAGGGGGCTGGGAAGGTGGCTCAGTGGTAGAGTGCTTGCCTTGCATGCATGAGGCCCTGGGTTCGATTCCTTAGTACCACATAAGCAGAAAAAACTGGAATTGGCACTATGGTTCAATGGTAGAGCACTAGCCTTGAGCTGAAGAGCTCAGGGACAGCGTCCAACCCCATGACCAATAAAAAACAAAAAACTGCACTATCTTTTGGGCTGGGAAGGTGGCTCAGTGGTAGAGCGCTTGCCTTTGCATGCATGAGGCCCTGGGTTCAATTCCTCAGCACCACATAAGGAGAAAAAAAAGCCGGAAGTGGCGCTGTGGCTCAAAGTGGTAGAGCGCTAGCCTTGAGCTGAAGAGCTGAGGGACAGTGCCCAGGCTCAGAGTTCAGGCCCCATGACTGGCAAAAAAAAAAAAAAAGTAAGATGAGGAAAACAAGGGGACATCTTAGGTGGACTGAGAAAGGAGCGGGTTCTGGGAGAAGGCGGTGCAGGCGGCTGAGGCAGGCAAGGTCTGGCCTTGCTGGTCCCCACTGGAGCCAGGGTTGGAGAGCCAGCAGCTAGACAGTGAGAGGGGCAAACAGACCCAGACCCACGCTGAACAAGTCTGTGCAGTGCTTATCTCCAGTTAACCACAAAAAGCCAGCAGTGGAGCTATAGCTCAGGTGGTAGAGTGCTAGCTTGAGCACAGAAGCTCACGGGCAGTGCTCAGGCCTAGGATTCAAGCTCCAGGCCTGGCAAAATAAAAAGACTCATATACTCATTACCAGACTTATGAAATGGTAACTCCTGTGTAACATCTTACTTATAACAAAACTGTATTTACGCCCCTCCCCCCAGATCTCCAAGTTTTTTTGTTTTTGTTTTGTTTTGGTCGGTCGTGGGGCTTGAACTCTGGGCCTGGGCACTGTCCCTGTGCTCTTCAGCTCAAGGCAAGCGCTCTACTTGAGCCTCAGCGGCACTTCCAGTTTTCTGGTGGTTTATTGGAGGTAAGGTCTCACAGACTTTCTTGCCTGGGCTGGCTTTGAACTGAGATCCTCAGATCTCAGCCTCCTGAGTAGCTGGGATGACAGGCGTGAGCCTCTGGCTCTGGAGGCTAGGAGATCCCATTGGAAGGTGTGTACCAGGCAGGGGCCTTTGTGCTGACGCTCCCCAGCAGAGTCTGAAGGGGTCTGGGCCAGGCCCCAGGGCGGCCTCAGGCCCCGCAAGCACACAGTGGCGTTTGGGTGTAGACTGGGTTTGGGCAGTCAAGCTACACGCCTTCCCTGGGCTGTGTTCCACCCGGCGCTCCAGGGGTCAGACCTGGACGCTGCACCTGGCCCCACCCCGCTCCACGCCCCGTCTGGGCAGCGGTCCTCTCCTTACGGGCACAATTTCTTCTCACTCCAGCTCCCTTGGAAGTCACTCACCAGCATCATCGAGTACTACTACATGTGGAAGACCACAGACAGATATGTCCAGCAGGTAAGTGGGGGTCCCCCCACACCATCCTCCCCAGCACCCCCCCACCATCCTCCCCATCCCCGTCCTCCCCAGCATCCCCCCACACCATCCTCCCCAGCATCCCCCCCCCACCATCCTCCCCATCTCCGTCCTCCCCAGCATCCCCCCACACCATCCTCCCCAGCATCCCCCCACACCGTCCTCCCCAGCATCCCCCCACACCGTCCTCCCCAGCATCCCCCCACACCGTCCTCCCCAGCATCCCCCCACACCGTCCTCCCCAGCATCCCCCCACACCGTCCTCCCCAGCATCCCCCCACACCGTCCTCCCCGTCCTCCCCAGCATCCCCCCACACCATCCTCCTCGTCCTCCCCAGCATCCCCCCACACCATCCTCCCCGTCCTCCCCAGCATCCCCCCACACCATCCTCCCCCCACACCGTCCTCCCCAGCATCCCCCCATACCGTCCTCCCCAGCATCCCCCCACACCGTCCTCCCCAGCATCCCCCCACACTGTCCTCCCCAGCATCCCCCCACACCATCCTCCCCAGCATCCCCCCCCCACCATCCTCCCCATCCCCGTCCTCCCCAGCATCCCCCCACACCATCCTCCCCCCACACCGTCCTCCCCAGCATCCCCCCATACCGTCCTCCCCAGCATCCCCCCACACCGTCCTCCCCAGCATCCCCCCACACTGTCCTCCCCAGCATCCCCCCACACCATCCTCCCCAGCATCCCCCCCCCACCATCCTCCCCATCCCCGTCCTCCCCAGCATCCCCCCACACCATCCTCCCCCCACACCGTCCTCCCCAACATCCCCCCATACCGTCCTCCCCAGCATCCCCCCACACCATCCTCCCCAGCATCCCCCCACACCGTCCTCCCCAGCATCCCCCCCACACCGTCCTCCCCAGCATCCCCCCACACCATCCTCCCCAGCATCCCCCACACCGTCCTCCCCAGCATCCCCCCACACCGTCCTCCTCGTCCTCCCCAGCATCCCCCCACACTGTCCTCCCCATCCCCGTCCTCCCCAGCATCCCCCACCCCGTCCTCCCCATCCCCCCACACCATCCTCCCCAGCATCCCCCCACACCATCCTCCCCATCCCCCCACACCATCCTCCCCAGCATCCCCCCACACCGTCCTCCCCAGCATCCCCCCACACTGTCCTCCCCATCCCCCCACACCATCCTCCCCAGCATCCCCCCACACTATCCTCCCCATCCCCCCACACCATCCTCCCCAGCATCCCCCCACACCGTCCTCCCCAGCATCCCCCCACACCATCCTCCCCAGCATCCCCCCACACTGTCCTCCCCATCCCCCCACACCATCCTCCCCAGCAACCCCCCACCATCCTCCCCATCCCCGTCCTCCCCAGCATCCCCCCACACCATCCTCCCCAGCATCCCCCCCCCACCATCCTCCCCATCCCCGTCCTCCCCAGCATCCCCCCACACCATCCTCCCCAGCATCCCCCCACACCGTCCTCCCCAGCATCCCCCCCCACCGTCCTCCCCAGCATCCCCCCCCACCATCCTCCCCATCCCCGTCCTCCCCAGCATCCCCCCCCACCATCCTCCCCATCCCCGTCCTCCCCAGCATCCCCCCACACCGTCCTCCCCAGCATCCCCCCACACCGTCCTCCCCAGCATCCCCCCACACCGTCCTCCCCAGCATCCCCCCACACCGTCCTCCCCAGCATCCCCCCACACTGTCCTCCCCATCCCCCCACACCATCCTCCCCAGCATCCCCCCACACCATCCTCCCCAGCATCCCCCCCACACCGTCCTCCCCAGCATCCCCCCCACACCGTCCTCCCCAGCATCCCCCCCACACCATCCTCCCCAGCATCCCCCCACACCATCCTCCCCAGCATCCCCCCCCATCGTCCTCCCCAGCATCCCCCCACACCGTCCTCCCCGTCCTCCCCAGCATCCCCCCACACCGTCCTCCCCATCCCCGTCCTCCCCAGCATCCCCCCACCCCGTCCTCCCCATCCCCCCACACCATCCTCCCCAGCATCCCCCCCCCACCATCCTCCCCATCCCCGTCCTCCCCAGCATCCCCCCACACCGTCCTCCCCAGCATCCCCCCACACCGTCCTCCCCAGCATCCCCCCACACCATCCTCCCCAGCATCCCCCCACACCGTCCTCCCCAGCATCCCCCCACACTGTCCTCCCCATCCCCCCACACCATCCTCCCCAGCATCCCCCCACACCATCCTCCCCATCCCCCCACACCATCCTCCCCAGCATCCCCCCACACCGTCCTCCCCAGCATCCCCCCACACCGTCCTCCCCAGCATCCCCCCACACCGTCCTCCCCAGCATCCCCCCACACCGTCCTCCCCAGCATCCCCCCACACCGTCCTCCCCAGCATCCCCCCACACCGTCCTCCCCAGCATCCCCCCCACACCGTCCTCCCCAGCATCCCCCCACCCCGTCCTCCCCGTCCTCCCCAGCATCCCCCCACACCGTCCTCCCCAGCATCCCCCCCACACCATCCTCCTCGTCCTCCCCAGCATCCCCCCACACCATCCTCCCCGTCCTTCCCAGCATCCCCCCCACACCATCCTCCCCGTCCTCCCCAGCATCCCCCCACACCGTCCTCCCCAGCATCCCCCCACACCGTCCTCCCTGTCCCCATTTCCCCCTCCCCCCCCTCATGCGTGCCTCCCTGGATTCCCACCAGGCCAGAGCAGAAGGGAGGGAAGACGGTGGGTCGCTGGAGGCTGGACACCGGGAGGACGCCCCTTGAGTAGTCTGGCCTCTGCCCTCCAGTCTGTGCCCTGCCCTTCCCCTGCCCTCCCCCCGAGGCTAGGCGGCAGGACCGGGTGACGGTGCTAGGGAAGCCATGGTGGCCCTCCTGTGGTCTCCCAGCTGTGGCCCAGCTGGCCTGGTGACCTCAGAACTCTGTTTTGTTTAAGAAACGCTTGAAAGCAGCGGAAGCAGAGAGCAAGTTGAAACAAGTTTATATTCCCAACTAGTAAGTCCACCGTGTGTCCTGGGGCTGGTGGAGGGCCAGCAGGGAGCGGCCTGGGAGGCGTGCCACGCGGCTTCTCGTGGAGCTGAGGGCGGTGGGGATGTGTGTGCTGAGGATGCCGCCCCGGCCTGGTGTGGCCGCTGCGGCTCTGCCGAGTGCGAGGTGCTGGGAAGGGTGGAAGGGTGGTTGGCGTTGGCACTCCTTTGGTCCAGGGCTCAGGCTGGGCTGAGCGTTGGGCACACTGGAAGTCAACCACCACCCTATCTCCTAATGGACACATGGAAATGTGGACAGCAGGGTGTGGTGGCGTGGGTCCTGGACAGGGTTGCAGCTGTGTGGGCCCTGGTGCAGGGGTGCTGGGGTGCGGCGGTGTGGGCCCTGGTGTGGGGGTGCGGTGGTGTGGGTCCCGGTGCGGGGGTGCAGCGGTGTGGGCCCCGGTGTGGGGGTGCAGCAGTGCGGGGGTACGGCGGTGTGGGCCCCTGTGCAGGGGTGCGGTGGTGTGGGCCCCTGTGCGGGGGTGCGGTGGTGTGGGCCCCTGTGCGGGGGTGCGGGGGTGTGGGCCCCTGTGCGGGGGTGCGGTGGTGTGGGCCCCGGTGTGGGGGTGCGGCGGTGTGGGTTCCGGTGCCGGGGGGTGCGGCGGTGTGGGGGTGCAGTGGTGTGGGTCCCGGTGCAGGGGTACGGCGGTGTGGGCCGCGGTGCAGGGGTGCAGCGGTGTGGGTCCCGGTGCAGCGGTACGGCGGTGTGGGCCCCTGTGCGGGGGTGCGGCGGTGTGGGTCCTGGTGCGGGGGTGCGGCAGTGTGGGCCCTGGTGTGGGGGTGCGGCGGTGTGGGCTCTGGTGTGGGAGTGCAGCAGTGTGGAGGTACGGCGGTGTGGGCCCTGGTGTGGGGGTGCGGTGGTGTGGGCCCCGGTGCAGGGGTGCTGGGGTGCGGCGGTGTGGGCCCCTGTGCGGCGGTGTGGGGGTGCGGCAGTGTGGGCCCTGGTGTGGGGGTGCGGTGGTGTGGGTCCTGTGCGGGGCTGCGGCGGTGTGGGCCCCGGTGTGGGGGTGCAGCAGTGTGGGGGCACGGTGGTGTGGGCCCCTGTGCGGGGGTGCGGCGGTGTGGGCCCTGGTGTGGGGGTGCGGTGGTGTGGGCCCTGGTGTGGGGGCACGGTGGTGTGGGCCCCTGTGCGGGGGTGCGGTGGTGTGGGCCCTGGTGTGGGGGTGCGGTGGTGTGGGCCCTGTGCGGGGGTGCGGTGGTGTGGGCCCCGGTGCAGGGGTGCTGGGGTGCGGCGGTGTGGGCCCCGGTGCGGGGGTGCGGCGGTGTGGGCCCTGTGCGGGGGTGCGGTGGTGTGGGCCCCGGTGCGGGGGTGCTGGGGTGCGGCGGTGTGGGCCCTGTGCAGGGGTGCGGCGGTGTGGGCCCGGTGTGGGGGTGCGGCGGTGTGGGCCCCGGTGCGGGGGTGCGGCGGTGTGGGCCCTGTGCGGGGGTGTGGGCCCCGGTGCAGGGGTGCTGGGGTGCGGCGGTGTGGGCCCCGGTGCAGGGGTGCTGGGGTGCGGTGGTGTGGGCCCTGTGCTGGGGTGCGGCGGTGTGGGCCCCGGTGCGGTGGTGCTGGGGTGCGGCGGTGTGGGCCCTGTGCTGGGGTGCGGCGGTGTGGGCCCCGGTGCGGTGGTGCTGGGGTGCGGCGGTGTGGGCCCTGTGCGGCGGTGTGGGCCCGGTGCGGGGGTGCGGTGGTGTGGGCCCTGTGCGGGGGTGTGGCGTTGTGGGCCCCGGTGCGGGGCTGCTGGGGTGCGGCGGTGTGGGCCCTGTGCGGGGGTGCGGTGGTGTGGGCCCTGTGCGGGGGTGTGGCGTTGTGGGCCCTGGTGCGGGGGTGCTGGGGTGCGGCGGTGTGGGCCCTGTGCGGGGGTGCGGTGGTGTGGGCCCTGTGCTGGGGTGCGGTGGTGTGGGCCCTGTGCGGGGGTGCGGCGGTGTGGGCCCCAGTGCAGGGCCGCACCTCAGGCCGCTGTGTCTGCTCCTTCTCACCCTCTCAGTAATAAGCCAAATCCAAACCAGATCAGCGTCAACAACGTGAAGGCCAGTGTGGTGAATGGCACAGGGACGGCAGGCCAGAGCCCTGGGGCCGGCCGGGCCTGCGAGAGCTGTTACAGTAAGTGCCCGGCCCGGCCCCGCCAGGGCCGCGGGAGCGCCCCGGATGCCCCTGCGAGCAAGGCTGGCACCTGTGCGGCCGGCTGGGCCGGGCCTCTGATGAGGGGTGCGGTTGGCCGTGGGCTGTGGTGGGGAGTGTGGTGGACCCGGGGTGCCCCGGGTGGGGGGGCCGGGACACTGTGGAATGCTCTCTGCATCTTGGTTCTGCTTAAGAATCCGTCTATTTCCAACTTTGTTGTCCGTAGCCACACAGTCTTACCAGTGGTATTCTTGGGGTCCCCCTAACATGCAGTGTCGCCTCTGCGCCTCTTGTTGGACATATTGGAAGAAATATGGTGGCTTGAAAATGCCAACCCGGTTAGATGGAGAGAGGCCAGGACCAAACCGCAATAACATGGTGAGTGGGGCGGAGCCGTCGGCCTGTGCGGGGCGTCCGGGGCCCGTGGCTCCCGGCCCCCGGTCATGGCGCTGCGTGGGGCTGTGTGCCCGTTCCGCAGAGTCCCCATGGCATGCCAGCCCGGAGCAGTGGGAGCCCCAAGTTTGCCATGAAGACGAGGCAGGCCTTCTACCTGCACACCACCAAGCTGACGAGGATCGCCCGGCGGCTGTGCCGTGAGCTCCTGCGCCCCTGGCACGCCGCCCGGCACCCCTACATGCCCATCAACAGTGCCGCCATCAAGGCCGAGTGTGAGCCGCCCCCGTCCCGTCTCTGTCTGTGTTCCTGTCAGTTCTGGGGGGCAGAGAGGGCAGAGCACCCTGGGTGGGGTACAGGCTGGGGGGCCGGCCCCTCACCCTGCCTACCCCCTCCTCCCCACAGGCACGGCCCGGCTGCCGGAAGCTTCCCAAAGCCCACTGGTGCTGAGGCAAGTGGTGCGGAAGCCCCTGGAGGCTGTGCTCCGGTACCTGGGTAAGCCGGGCCCAGGCTGGGCCGGGGGGGGGGGGGGGGGGGGGGTCCGCGCCAAACCGCCCGCAGGAGGCCTGGGCGCCAAGCTGCGGCCCTGCCTCCCTGCACCACGGAGCCCTCCGGCCAGCCTCCACAGCATCAGGCCAGGGAGACACGTGTTACCACGGAGAGCACGGCTCAGCCAGGCCTCTGGGGATGGGAGGCGCACACCTGGCGCAGCTCGCGGGAGAAGCGCTCGTGTGTGTGGGTTTAGGCACCTGAGAAGCCAGCCAGACCATTCAGGGAGAGGAGGCTCACGGCCTCCTGGGCCTGAGTGGGCTCCTGAGTCAGTTCTCCCAGCAGGGAGTTAACTGTTCTTCTGGAAAGGACATTCCAGAACTATGAGCAGGCACACGTGGTTTTGGCACTGTTCCCTGTCGGGGGTCCCAGGCCCGGGCTGGCCTCGCCCTGTCCTGTGGAGGAGGTGGCTGGTGCCAGGACCAGCCCCATCGGGGCCTGGCTGGCAGCCAGCCCTCTGCCATCAGCCCCTGGGGCCTGGATGTGGAGGCTGCTCTGTTTATGGCTCTGTCTGGATCCTGGAAGCTACTGCGCCTGGCTGTGGAGCACCCGCCACACCCAAAGCACCCTCCCTGCCCTGGGCTCCTGGGCATCTCCCTGCCTGCTGAGCAGGGACCCTCTGCTTCCACAGAGACCCACCCACGCCCCCCTAAGCCTGATCCGGTGAAGACCGCATCCAGCGTCCTCAGCAGCCTGACGCCCGCCAAGTCGGCCCCGGTCATCAACAACGGCTCCCCCACCATCCTGGGCAAGAGGAGCTACGAGCAGCACAACGGGGTAGACGGTGAGTCTGGGCTCGAGCGCCTCCCGCAGGGCCTGCACGGAGCTGCAGCCGGCCCGCGGCGGCCGGGGCCTGCCCATCCTGCTGCCCCCCGCTGACCGTGTTCTCTCTCCCTCTCTCTCCTGTCTCTGGGCGCTGCCAGGCAACATGAAGAAGCGCCTCTTGATGCCCAGTAGGGGTAAGGCCTGGGGTGGCCGCCGGTGGGTGCTGTGCCAGCCCTGTCGTGATGCTGTGTGTACTGTCTGCTCCTGCTGTGGGCGGTTCAGGGCACGTCCGGGGCAGTCCACGCAGGCCTGGCTCACGGCCCAGACCCCTGCTGTCCCCCGCCTGTCCCTTGGTGGCATGGCCACGTGCCCTCCCCGGCGTGTGCCTTGGTGGACTGTCCTTGCATACGTGGCCTGCGCCCCCACCGCCTCCGCGCTGTGACCTCCCGCATGCCCCCGGCCTTGCTTGTGGGGCTGCGCCTGCTGCCTGCAACCCTCTCCTGCACCCGGCCTGCTGGGGCAGCAGGAGGCAGGCCGGCGTCCACAGTGACCGAGGGTGGCTGGGCACGGGTGTGGGCCTTGCAGCCTGGCGCCTGAGGACTGACTCAGGCGCTGCGCTGTGGAGCGAGAGGCTGTGGAGCCCTGGCCCTCTTTGGGCGCCTTCAGTCTGGGCACCTATAAGGCCAACACGGACAGGCCTCAGGGAAGACCTGAGAGCATCCTGCCAGATTTCAGGACAGAGGCCACTGTGGGGGCTGGGGCCTGGGTCCCGGTGGCAGCGCAGTGGCCATCAGCTGTTCTAGCACGCTCCCTTTGGGGGCACCGCTGGTTGTGCGGGAGTCTGGGTGTAAGCCCCTTGCCTGTCCGTGCCCGCTCTTCCTGCCGCCCGCGCACCGCCAGCATGGGCCCAGGCATAGTCTCCTCAAGACATAGAGACACAATGCGCTCTTGCTTCTGGCCTCTTCATTTGCTCACATGTTAAAGTACTTTGAAGCGGACACCGGTGGCTCATATCTGTTATCCTAGCTGCTCAGGAGGCTGAGGCCTGAGGTTCACAGTTCTAAGCCAGCCTGGGCAGGAAAGTCTGTAAGACTCTTATCTCCAATAAATAACAAAAAAAGCCAGAGGTGGTGCAGTGGCTCAAGTGGTAGAGCACTGGCCTTGAGCACAGCAAAGCTCAGGGACAGTTCCCAGGCCCAGAATTGAAGCCCCAGGACTGGCAAAAAAAAAAACCTAACAAACTAAAATGTAAAGTACATTGATTGCCACTGGTCCCCAGTGGGCCCTGCAGGGCATGCTCTGCCCCAGTCCTGGAGGCCCCACCTGCACGGGTCAGGCCTAGGTCACGGGCTGGCGAGAGGGAAGAGGCTGTACTGAGGCACTCAGTCCTCAGTAGAGGCCAGAGGGAAGAGCCCCGGGGGGTGCTCTGGGGCCACAGCCGCGCAGCCGCGGCATCGGTACAGGCTGGGTCTGTCGGCCTGGGCAGGTGTGAGGCTGGACAGGGAGGGGCCGGCCCTGGCACTCACCATGCTGCCTGCTGCTCTGCCCTGCCCTCGGGCTGCCTGTGGTGTATGCCACGCACTAACTAGCACGTGTCTTCTTTCCTCTGCCACCCCATCTTTCTGGCAGGCACTTACTTGGGTAAGTAGCGCTTGCACTGGTGGCTGTCCTGGGTGTGGGGCTTGGATCCTGCGAAGAGCAGGTCGTACCTGCCCTGGTGCTGTGCAACAGGCACCCGGACCCTCTGGGAGCCAGGGGCCTGCGGGGGAGAAAGGCTGGGTCTGGAGCGGCCAGGCCCCAGTGTATCCTGGGAGTGAGTGCCCCAGGTCAGGAGTCAGGTTGCTTGGAGGAGGGCCAGCCAGGCCCCTCCTATGTGCAGGTGGCAGCCCAGCCCTAGGAGGTCCGGACTGGGCTGCACAGCTAGACCCTGTTTCACAAAAAGAGTGGAGCAATGTTTGAGGTCAGAGCCGCAGCCCAGCCCCAGGCCCATGGACGCTCACCAGCAGGCCTGGGTGGGAAGGGGAGGCAGCGGGGCCCCGGGGCCGGGGTGGGCTAACAAGGCGGGCTGGAGTCCTCCGCTCCGCACACGCCATCCGCCAGGGTGTCGGGGCTCAGCTGGTGCTGTGGACCAGGGCCTAGCCCCTGGCCTGCTGGCCAAGGAGACAGCTCTGCCTCCTGGGCTGTCGACAGCCCGGAGCCTGGCCGCCCCACCGTGGAGCTAGGTGTGCGCGGTGTTTAGTCTTGTGGGTGTGGCCTGGTTACTATGTGTAGCAGGCTTCATTTGTCTTGGCCCAGTGCTGGTAGTGGGGAGCCCAGCTAAGCTGTCAGACCCACCTGGAGCGTGTTCTGCCGGCAGGATGCAGGGAGCCCTCAGAGCTGTGGGGTCGCGAAGCCCTGACTCAGGAACCAGCACCATGTCCTTCTGGCCTCTGGGTGTAGGCGCAGGTCCCCTGCCCGTGGCCCGGGTGAGGCCCGTGGCCACTGGTGTCAGTGCCTCACTGCACACTCTTTTCTCATCAGGTCTGGCAAACCATGGACAGACCAGGCACATGGTAAGAGGAGCAGCCAGCATGGCGCGTGCTGCATGTGTGCACAGCTAGCTGCCTTGGGGAGCGTCCCAGAGGCCCAGCCGGCCATACCCTTGTGGTGTGAAGAGCCTCATGGGCTCCCGCCTGCCCCGGGCAGGGCGGCCCCTGTGAGGGGCCATGCAGGTTGAGGTGGGGCTTGCCCTGGGGCCTGGCTGCAGGGTGCGGGAGAGGGGTGCCCAGGGAGACACGTCCGTCCCTGCCCCAGGGACCAAGCCGGAACCTCCTGCTCAACGGGAAGTCATACCCCACCAAAGTGCGCCTCCTCCGCGGCGGCTCCCTGCCGCCCGTGAAGCGGCGGCGGATGAACTGGATCGACGCCCCAGATGACGTGTTCTACATGGCCACCGAGGAGACCAGGTGCGTGTCCTGGGGGAGAGGGGAGGGCGGGGGCACCGCCCCCGCTACCAAGCGCTGGCCTCAACAGCCTGCCTCTTTCACTCGCAGGAAGATCCGAAAGCTGCTCTCATCCTCAGAAACCAAGCGTGCTGCCCGCCGGCCCTACAAGCCCATCTCCCTGCGCCAGAGCCAGGCCCTGCCGTCCAGGCCTCCGCCGCCCGCCCCGGTCAACGACGAGCCCATCGTCATCGAGGATTAGCGGCGGCCCGCCCCCGCGGCCCGCCCAGGCTTTTCCGTCAACCCCAGAGTGTCCCGAGCCTGGGCGCCGGGCGGCCTCTGCCCCGCCAGACTGCTGCCTGCCCCCCCTGTGTCGGTAGTGCCCCTCCTCCCGCCCTCGCCTGCAGAGAAATGCGCTCCTTCGGCGGACACAGGGGAAGAAGTGCAGTTTAACTTATTCCGAGATGCCGAGGAGTCGTTTTTTAGCTTTGTGTTTACTTTCTGGCTGGAGCAGAGATGAGGCAGCCGCCCGGGATCGGCCCTAAGGTTTTGTTGTGTTCTGTTGAAGGTGCCATTTTAAATTTTATTTTTATTACTTTTTTTGTAGATGAACTTGAGCTCTGTATTTCACCTGGAATGTTAGGAGGATCAGTGTGGCCGGTGGCAGCCGCTGCCTGGCGGGTCGGCCCCTTGTCTTTTCAAGTAATTTTCATATTAAACAAAAAAGAAAAAATCTCATAAAAAGGAAAAAACCCTGGCAGATGTTCCCTGTGTCTTTCCTTCGGGTCCCTCTCCTGGTCTCAGGACTCCGGGCTGCCCATGCTGCCTGCCTGAGGGACCAGGTCCAGGGTGGTGAGTCGCAGCCCAGGCCCAGGCCAGGCCCAGGCTAGTGGCTCTGCTCTGGGGCATCTGGGATAGGAGAAACAAGAAGTATGGCCCCTCAGCCATTTTGGTCTCCGGGCTGTGCCACTCAGTGCCCTGCCTGGGGCCCTGGACTTGAGCAGAGCGCTGCCCGCTCTGTCCATGGAGAGGCTGGCTGGGAGACCGGCCCAGGGCCCCCGCTCTGGGGGGAGGAGGCCCCGCTCCAGCTGCCTAAGGCTTTCTATCGCCTCCCCGCCCCCAGCAGTGTGCTTTTCCACAGTAAGAATTTTCTCAGATTTCAGTTTAAGTTCCTGCTCAGAAATCCTATCTTGGCTGGTCCCCTCACCCACGCTTGCAGACTGAGGGGCAGGTGCAGGACCGGCCAGCCACCCCCGGGTGACGCCCTTGCTCTGAGGACCCCTCCTCCGGCTGTGTCTGCTCAGCCGGCCCCTCCCTGGGAACCTGGGGCTCTGTCCCTCAGACTCGGCCTCCGCTCCCCACCCCTCCCAGGCGCCTGAGAAGTGTGGAAATCTCAGCCTAAGAATTAAAATAGAAACCTCTTCTGCTCCCGTCCCAGGGACAGATAAGGGGTGCTCTGGCTTTTCTGAGGGCCGTTGGGGCCTGTCAGGAAGACTGTTCTGGGTGCTGGGAATTCAGCTGCAAGATAGCCTTTGCTCTCACCTCTCCCAGGGTTGCTGCATGTTTTCCCCTGGCAACCATGGTCTGCAGCCTGCCACCTGCTCTCCCCCCTCCCCCCGGCACCCCATGTCCCTGAGGGTCTCCTCTTCGGACCCTAGGGTTCTAGAGAAGCGGCAAGGAGCTTTAGAGAGCAGCTCATGAGGTGAAGACTGCTAGCCTCTGCCATTACCACACACACACTGAGGCACAGGGTTGCCCCACCACCCCCAATGCCCGTCGCTTTTTTTTTTTGGTTGGTCGTGGGGCTTGAACTCTAGGCCTGGGCACTGCCCCTCAGCTCTTCAGCTCAAGGCGAGCGCTCTACCACTTGAGCCACAGCACCACTTCCAGTTTTCTAGTGGTTTATTGGAGATAAGAGTCTCACGGACTTTCCTGCCCAGGCTTTTTGAACCGTGATCCTCAGATCTCAGCCTCCTGATCGCTAGGATGACAGGTGTGAGCCACCAGTGCCCGGCTGCCTGACCCTTTTTGAGGCCAGATCTAGGCAAAGGCAAAGAAGTGTCCTTGGGGCCCAGCTTAGAGCTCTGTCTCCAGAGCAAAAGGACTCTGAAGTGGTGGGTGCAAACTCCTGGGGTCCTGCTCCACCCCAACATCCCACCTGTGTGCCCAGCTGCCGATGCCATGCATAACTTGGCTGCGTATCCACATCCGGCTGCTTGGGATCCCGGTTAAGAAGGGAGTGAGCACTGGCTGGAGGGGGCGCAGGAGGCAGGGGCCCATGCCTGGCTGTCCCTGCTTTGCTACGCCACACCAAAGCCCCCCTGCCAGGAAAGGTAGCCCAGAGCCTGGGGAAGGGCAGGAACCCTCTCCACAGCCAGCACACCCTGCCAAGGCTGTAACTCAAAGCCCTTGGGCTCAGGCTTCCCCTGCCCTGCTCTGGGTTCCGCTGCTGGTGGAGGGACATGTCCCCTGCCTGGCCTCCTAGCCCAGGCCCGGTGCCTTTCTGCACCTGCCCATCCTTCCCTGTCTGCTCCAGCTTGTTTCCCTTCCCAGCTCTTCTGCTTCCTTCCGCTGACCCCACGCCCTTTCTTGCCAAGCCTGGAATATTCCCATAGTACCAGGAGACTTTCCTGGACCCAGGGCCTGCAGCTGAGGTGGGCAGGGCCAGAGCCGCAGCTGACCTCTCCAGCTGCCGACACTGCCCTAGGCATCTGGCCAGTGCCGGATGCCATTCTTTTCTGCCACCCCCACCTGCTTCTTAGCAGAGCCGGGCACCCTGGGGGCTGCCTCCTTCCAGGAGACACCTGTGCCTGGCCAGCCAGAGCTGGCCTGCAACGGAAGCAAGATGGAGCCAGAGGAGAGCACAGCGGGGGAGGGGGGGTCCTCAGGAGTGCGCCTGGGCAGGGCTACCGGCCACACGAGGGGACCCTGCCCAGGAAGGCTCTGCCAGGGCTCCACCTGGACTGGCCAGCATCCAGAGGAGCCAGGGGAGCTGGTCAGGCTGGTCAGTCGGGGGTGGGGGGGGGGTGTTGGGATGTGATCATGGAGCTGCAGGATATGCATGCACGAAGGGGGGAAGGGCCACTCCAGAAAGCAGCTCGGGTTGGGGACAGCGCGCCTGGTTCCAGGAGCGCCCAGGGACCCGCGCTGCGGTGCTGGCCCGCCGCCCAAGCGGAGGGGCGCCTGGGACTCGAGCTGCCCGCCCCCACTGGGGGGTCCCCAGACTCGGGGGGCCCGCGGGGGTCAGGACGGAGGCCTGGGCCCCCGGGGCCGGACGCGCGCTCCCGAGGGCCGGCGGGGCGCGGCGGGGCGCGGCGGGGCGCGGCGGGGACCCGCCGGGGACCCGCGCGCAGCCAGCGCCGCCTCCGCCCTCGGCGCGTGGTTTCCCGGGCTGGGCCGCGGTGGGGGCCCGGCAGCCGGCAGCCCCGCAGGCCGCGCGCGCGCTGTTTCCATGGAAACCGGGCAACAAAGGGAGGCGGCGCCGCTCGGAGGAGAGAGGGAGGGGAGGGGAGGGGAGGGAGGGCTGAGCCCGCGCCCCGCCCGCCGCGCCCCCGCCCCGAGCCGCGGCCCCACTCCCGCCGCGCAGCCCGGGAAGCCCCGGGGCGGGCTCGGGGCGGGGGCGCGGGGCGCGGGGTGGCGGCCCCGCTCGGCAGGTGCGCCCCGCCCTCGGCGTCCCCCGCGCCCCCGGGGCGGGCGGCCCCTGGGCGGGCTCCCAGGCCCCACCCCGGCCGCGGGGCCAATGGGAGGCGGGGGGCGGGCGGAGGACGGGCGGGCGCGGCGGGCGGCGGCGCGGAGCGAGCGGTCGGCGGGCGCGGAGCGAGCGGGCGCGGGGCCGACGGTGCACCGGACATGGCCTCCAAGTGTCCCAAGTGCGACAAGACCGTGTACTTCGGTGAGTGCCCGCCCGCGCGGGCCCCGCACCCGCCCGCGCGCGCCCCGCACCCCGCCAGGTGCGTGGGTCCCCGTGCGCAGCCGGGATGCGCGGCCCGAAACCCCGCCCTCGGGGCGCGGCGCGGGCGGGCGGGTCTGGGACCCGCGGGCGGCCCGGCGGGCTCTGCGTCCCGAGCCCCGGACGCCCCGCTTTTCCCCAGCGGGCCGGGGCCGGGCCGGGGCCGGGCGGACCGGGCGTGGCCGCTCGCCCCCGACTCCCGCCGGCCGCGCTCCCGCTCCGTCGGTGGCCCCGGCCCGGCCCGGCCCGGCCCTCTCCGCCCTCTGCCCCGGCCGCCGCGGCAGGCCTGGGCGCCGTCGGGCTTCGGCCCAGGCGGGGCGGCCTTGGTCTCCTGGCGGGCTGCCCCGCGTTACCCGCGGGTGCGGTGGGGTGACACGCAGGCCCCCGCGAGCTTCGGACCGCGGCGTCCGGAGCCCCAGATCCCGGACCGGAGGAACCGGCCTCCGCCCGGCCCAGCGCCCCGTCCCCCGCAGCGGCCCCCTTCCTACTCCCCTGGCCGCCTGGCCTGGCCCGGCTGCGCCACCCCGGTCCCTCCCGCCTGAGCCACGTCCCTGCCCGCCGTCGGGACCAGACGTCAAGACTGCGGGCCAGACTGGAAGGGCAGAGGGCTGGGCAGGCAGGGAGCCTTCCCTGGGCACCCCAGGACCGGGGTGGGGGCAGCAGGGAGCCTTCCCTGGGCACCCCTCTTACAGGAGAGCAGAGGCCACTCTTGTTTGCTCTTCCCATGGGCGGGGACCGGATTCGGCCTGGAGAGCTTCTGGAGTGGCCCGGAGCCAGGGCCTTCCCACTCCTCCTCAGAAGCCTGCCCGGCCTTGGTCCCTGGCAAGTCGGGGCAAGGAGGGTCCGCCCATGGCTTGGCTCCGGGAGGCTTTGGCCCTAACACAGGACGCAGGGCTCCCCTGCTCGGGCACCACCTCCAGCCCGGCAAAACAAAGGCGGCCGCGGGAGCGGTCTTTGTGCGTGGGGAGGCACCTGTGGGGCCACCTGAGTAGATCTGGGCTGCAGCGTCCCAGAGTGGCCTCCCGGGCAGTTGCGGCCAGGCAGCGGAGCCTGTTTGCTCCCAAGCCATCAGACCCGATCGATTCTGTGTTCCCGACTGGGGCCTGTAATGCGGCCATCGAGCCAGCGGGTCTGAGGGTCAGCTCTCTGCCCCCGCACGGCCCCAGTCCTGGAGCTGGCCCGCGCAGTATGGTTTTGGCAGCCCTGAGCTGCAGCTGCCACAGCCGCTGATGACCATCCCGACAAACTCCTTATCGCAGAGCTAGAGGCTGCCAGGCGGCCCCGGGGCCAAGCCTGCCCTCTGCCAGCCAGCTCCCGCCTGCCCTGGCCAGCCTGGTCTCTGCACCTCAGAGAAAGCAAAGTGATGGGAGTAGGTAGAGTTCCCCAGGGAATGCGCGGGCCTGGCCGTGCCTAGCACGTTCTGCTGGGGACCTGGAGAGCCCCCTCTCCACCAGCACCTCAGCCACTGGAGGACGGTGGTCAGTACCCGTAGGCCTTTTCAGGGTCAGCTGCCCTGTGTCCTGCAATTGCTAGGGCTGCCTAGGGGAGGGCTGGTGCCAAGGGTGCAGGTGATTGAGCCTGCTGTTCTGTCGGTTGTCAGCAGATGCTTCTGTTTTTGCCATCTACTGAGCAGGTTGGCTGTATCCTAGTGAGCAGCCAGTCTCCAGACTGGCCCTTCCCTTTGGAATTCCGGCCCTTCTTCCTGCCCTATCCTCCACCCTCTTCCTGCCTCACTCCCTTGGGAGGCCCAGGCTTCCGTCCTTTGGGAGGAAGCTTGCCCGCCCCAGCACTGGGGGGGGGGGGGAATAGCAGGGCACCCAATCTGATCCTTAGCAGCTGGTCTTAAACCTTTGACCCCAAAGCGGCAGCTGTGTAGAGGAAGATCTCGGATTGGGATGAGGAAGCCAAATCAGGGTCCTGCCTAGGGTCCTACTAGGGAGAGGCCTGCCTTCTTTTGGAGGTGCTGGAGGCCCAGAGCTGTTCCCTTGGTGGGTGCTCGTGGGGAAGGAGTCAGGGATGTGTGTCCGGGAGGTGGACGCTCGGAGGGAGGCAGGTGGAAGCAGGTGCAGTCTCAGCCGACTTGGAGGGGTTAACAGGCACCTGAGCCAGGTGCTACAGATGAGGGGGACCTGCGGGGGAAGCTGGGCCCCTGGCCTGAGCCTGGAGGATTCCCTGGGAGAGGCAGGCTCCGCGGGCGGGGGGCGGGGCCCAGTGCCCGGTGTGAAGCCCCGACACCTCTGCCCACAGCCGAGAAGGTGAGCTCCCTGGGCAAGGACTGGCATAAGTTCTGCCTCAAGTGCGAGCGCTGCAACAAGACGCTGACTCCAGGCGGGCACGCCGAGGTGGGCACCGGCCGGGGACGGGGGTGGGGCGGGGCCCCGAGGTGGGCACAGGGTGGGGTGGGGGCGGGGCCCGAGGTGGGCACAGGGTGGGGTGGGGGCGGGGCCCGAGGTGGGCACAGGGTGGGGTGGGGTGGGGGCGGGGCCCGAGGTGGGCACAGGGTGGGGTGGGGGCGGGGCCCGAGGTGGGCACAGGGTGGGGCGGGGCCCGAGGTGGGCACAGGGTGGGGTGGGGGCGGGGCCCGAGGTGGGCACAGGGTGGGGCGGGGCCCGAGGTGGGCACAGGGTGGGGTGGGGGCGGGGCCCGAGGTGGGCACAGGGTGGGGGCGGGGCCCGAGGTGGGCACAGGGTGGGGTGGGGGTGGGGGCGGGGCCCGAGGTGGGCACAGGGGGGTGGGGTGGGGGCGGGGCCCGAGGTGGGCACAGGGTGGGGTGGGGGCGGGGCCCGAGGTGGGCACAGGGTGGGGTGGGGGCGGGGCCCGAGGTGGGCACAGGGTGGGGGCGGGGCCCGAGGTGGGCACAGGGTGGGGGTGGAGCCCGAGGTGGGCACAGGGTGGGGTGGGGGTGGGGGCGGGGCCCGAGGTGGGCACAGGGGGGTGGGGTGGGGGCGGGGCCCGAGGTGGGCACAGGGTGGGGTGGGGGCGGGGCCCGAGGTGGGCACAGGGTGGGGTGGGGGCGGGGCCCGAGGTGGGCACAGGGTGGGGGCGGGGCCCGAGGTGGGCACAGGGTGGGGGCGGGGCCCGAGGTGGGCACAGGGTGGGGGTGGAGCCCGAGGTGGGCACGGGGTGGGGGTGGGGGCGGGGCCCGAGGTGGGCACAGGGGGGTGGGGTGGGGGCGGGGCCCGAGGTGGGCACAGGGTGGGGTGGGGGCGGGGCCCGAGGTGGGCACAGGGTGGGGTGGGGGCGGGGCCCGAGGTGGGCACAGGGTGGGGGCGGGGCCCGAGGTGGGCACAGGGTGGGGGCGGGGCCCGAGGTGGGCACAGGGTGGGGTGGGGGCGGGGCCCGAGGTGGGCACAGGGTGGGGTGGGGGCGGGGCCCGAGGTGGGCACTGGGTGGGGTGGGGGCGGGGCCCGAGGTGGGCACTGGGTGGGGTGGGGTGGAGCCCGAGGTGGGCACAGGCGGGGCGGGGGAGGAGCGGGGCCCGAGGTGGGCACAGGGTGGGGTGGAGCCCGAGGTGGGCACAGGGTGGGGTGGAGCCCGAGGTGGGCACAGGGTGGGGTGGGGGCGGGGCCCGAGGTGGGCACAGGGTGGGGGCGGGGCCCGAGGTGGGCACAGGGTGGGGTGGAGCCCGAGGTGGGCACAGGGTGGGGTGGAGCCCGAGGTGGGCACAGGGTGGGGGCGGGGCCCGAGGTGGGCACAGGGTGGGGTGGAGCCCGAGGTGGGCACAGGCGGGGCGGGGGAGGAGCGGGGCCCGAGGTGGGCACAGGGTGGGGGCGGGGCCCGAGGTGGGCACAGGGTGGGGTGGAGCCCGAGGTGGGCACAGGGTGGGGTGGAGCCCGAGGTGGGCACAGGGTGGGGTGGAGCCCGAGGTGGGCACAGGGTGGGGTGGAGCCCGAGGTGGGCACAGGGTGGGGTGGAGCCCGAGGTGGGCACAGGGTGGGGTGGAGCCCGAGGTGGGCACAGGGTGGGGTGGGGGCGGGGCCCGAGGTGGGCACAGGGTGGGGGCGGGGCCCGAGGTGGGCACAGGGTGGGGTGGAGCCCGAGGTGGGCACAGGGTGGGGTGGAGCCCGAGGTGGGCACAGGGTGGGGTGGAGCCCGAGGTGGGCACAGGGTGGGGTGGAGCCCGAGGTGGGCACAGGGTGGGGTGGGGGCGGGGCCCGAGGTGGGCACAGGGTGGGGGCGGGGCCCGAGGTGGGCACAGGGTGGGGTGGAGCCCGAGGTGGGCACAGGGTGGGGTGGGGGCGGGGCCCGAGGTGGGCACAGGGTGGGGGCGGGGCCCGAGGTGGGCACAGGGTGGGGGCGGGGCCCGAGGTGGGCACAGGGTGGGGTGGAGCCCGAGGTGGGCACAGGCGGGGCGGGGGAGGAGCGGGGCCCGAGGTGGGCACAGGGTGGGGTGGAGCCCGAGGTGGGCACAGGGTGGGGTGGAGCCCGAGGTGGGCACAGGGTGGGGTGGAGCCCGAGGTGGGCACAGGGTGGGGTGGAGCCCGAGGTGGGCACAGGGTGGGGTGGGGGCGGGGCCCGAGGTGGGCACAGGGTGGGGGCGGGGCCCGAGGTGGGCACAGGGTGGGGTGGAGCCCGAGGTGGGCACAGGGTGGGGTGGAGCCCGAGGTGGGCACAGGGTGGGGTGGAGCCCGAGGTGGGCACAGGGTGGGGTGGAGCCCGAGGTGGGCACAGGGTGGGGTGGGGGCGGGGCCCGAGGTGGGCACAGGGTGGGGGCGGGGCCCGAGGTGGGCACAGGGTGGGGTGGAGCCCGAGGTGGGCACAGGGTGGGGTGGAGCCCGAGGTGGGCACAGGGTGGGGGCGGGGCCCGAGGTGGGCACAGGGTGGGGTGGAGCCCGAGGTGGGCACAGGGTGGGGTGGAGCCCGAGGTGGGCACAGGCGGGGCGGGGGAGGAGCGGGGCCCGAGGTGGGCACAGGGTGGGGGCGGGGCCCGAGGTGGGCACAGGGTGGGGTGGAGCCCGAGGTGGGCACAGGGTGGGGTGGAGCCCGAGGTGGGCACAGGGTGGGGTGGAGCCCGAGGTGGGCACAGGGTGGGGTGGAGCCCGAGGTGGGCACAGGGTGGGGTGGAGCCCGAGGTGGGCACAGGGTGGGGTGGAGCCCGAGGTGGGCACAGGGTGGGGTGGGGGCGGGGCCCGAGGTGGGCACAGGGTGGGGGCGGGGCCCGAGGTGGGCACAGGGTGGGGTGGAGCCCGAGGTGGGCACAGGGTGGGGGCGGGGCCCGAGGTGGGCACAGGGTGGGGGCGGGGCCCGAGGTGGGCACAGGGTGGGGTGGAGCCCGAGGTGGGCACAGGCGGGGCGGGGGAGGAGCGGGGCCCCGCCCTCACGGCTGTTCCTCCACCTAGCATGATGGGAAGCCCTTCTGCCACAAGCCCTGCTATGCCACACTGTTCGGACCCAAAGGTGAGCGTGCGCTGGGGCGCTTACGAGGTGGTCCTGTCCTGGGGGCGGAGGGGGGCGGCGAGAGGAGGACACTGGCCTCCAGTGGAATCGCTCTGCCACCCACAGGCGTGAATATTGGGGGTGCCGGCTCCTACATCTACGAGCAGCCTTTGTCCGAGGGCCCTCAGGTCACCGGCCCGATCGAGGCCCCAGTGGCCCGAGCTGAGGAGCGCAAGGCCAGCGGTCCTCCCAAAGGACCCAGCAAAGGTGGGTCCTCCATCCATGGGCGCTGGGGTGAGCGGCCACGGTCCCTTCTGACCTCGGCCCTCCCTCCCCACAGCCTCCAGTGTCACCACATTCACCGGAGAGCCCAACATGTGTCCCAGATGCAACAAGAGGGTCTACTTCGGTGAGTGACTGCCCAGCCTGCCTATGGGAACCCGTGCTGGGTGGGGCGCACTGGCTCCTCCCCTCCGTGCTGGGCGGGGCATCGCCAGCTCCTCCCCTCCGTGCTGGGTGGGGCGCACTGGCTCCTCCCCCATGCTGGGCGGGGCATCGACAGCTCCTCCCCTCTGTGCTGGGTGGGGCGCACTGGCTCCTCCCCTCCGTGCTGGGCGGGGCATCGCCAGCTCCTCCCCTCCCTGCTGGGCGGGGCACCGCCAGCTCCTCCCCTCTGCTGGGCGGGGCATCTCCAGCCCCTCCCCTCCGTGCTGGACGGGGTGTCACTGGCTCCTCCCTTCAGCTGAAAAGGTGACATCTCTGGGCAAAGACTGGCACCGGCCCTGCCTTCGCTGCGAGCGCTGCTCCAAGACCCTGACCCCAGGGGGGCATGCGGAGGTGAGGCGCAGGACTGGGTTTGTGGGGTCAGACCAGCCTGGAGAAGACTACAGGGATGAATAAAGATGCAGGGCTGATGGGGTGCAGGCTTGAGAGGGGGCGGACGGGGGCCCCTCAGGCTGGCCCAGGCTGAGGACTGACCCCTGGTGGCCAGACTGTGCACTTTCCCATGCTGGGGGGACACCCCTTCCACATCCAGCCTGCCAAGGTAAGTGGGCCTGGATTCTCAGGGAGGGACCTGCATCAAGACAGTCTGTGGGGAGGGGAGCCAGAGGCCTGTGCCCAGCATACCCCCATCCTGTCCACAGCACGATGGCCAGCCCTACTGCCACAAGCCGTGCTATGGGATACTGTTTGGACCCAAGGGTAAGTGGGGGTAGAATGGGACAGGGGAAGAGGAGGAGGTTGTAGTGGATGGTGGTGGGAAATCCTTTCTTCCTCCAGACACCTGCTTGTTTCCACTTGTCCACCCATCATCTCTCCGCACAGGAGTGAATACTGGAGCTGTGGGCAGCTACATCTATGACAGAGACCCTGAAGGCACAGTTCAGCCCTAGGCCCATAACCCCCTGCAGGGGCAGGACCTGTCTCCTGTGGGAACCTGCCCCCAAGTCCCCTGCTTGGCTTTAGGGAGGAGACTGTCCACTGTCCAGTCCTGCCTTGTGTGTCCTGCCTGTAAGCCCAGGGCCTGAGTCCCTGGAGGAAGAGGGGTCTTGAGGGCAGTCTCCGGAGGAGTCTGCAAGCCCAGCCGTGTCTTGGTGTGTTATCCCTTGTAGCATCCTGTGTCCCTGTATCTACTTTTGTGTCTGTGCCTCCATCCCCTGTGTCCCACTGTTCCTGGCCTGTCTGTCTCTGTCCTCATGTGTCCCTGTACCCTTGGTGGATCTCTACAGTGGCTGTCCCATTCCTTCCCTGCTGTCCGTGCCAGCCCACCAGTATTATGCTCTGCTTGCCAGTGGTGGCCACGCTCTCACGGCACCCAAAGGTGGAGGTGCTCTTGGTGGGACACTCTGCCTGGACTCCTCACTGCCCACCCTTCACATGGCTCACATGCAGTGCCCGATTTTGCTGTCAATAAAAGGTTTGAGGATCGTAGGACTCCGTCTGTGTACTGGTGACTGCCTCCAGAGGCTCCCAGGCCCAGCTTCTGGTGGGGGGGGGCGGCAGGGAAGCCAGGGTTAGGCGGTGGTGGGATCCACGTGGTGAGTGGACACACATGGCTGGACTGGCCAGGAGTCCTGGGGAGGGGCCCAAGGAAGGGGCCTGTGGGGGTTCAAAGACCCCACTGTCAAAAAATGCACACTCTCGGGCTGGGAAAGTGGCTCAGTGGTAGAGCGCTTGCCTTGCATGCCAGAGGCCCTGGGTTCGATTCCTCAGCACCACATAAGCAAAAAGAAAAAAGCCAGAAGTGGTGCTGTGGCTCAAGTGGTAGAGCGCTAGCCTTGAGCTGAAGAGCTGAGGGACAGCGCCCAGGCCCAGAGTTCAGGCCCACGACCGGACCCCCCAAAAAACAAACAAAAAAAACCCCCCCGCATACTCTCAAGCCAAGGGAGCTGAGCTCTGGCTCAGGAGCCGGGAGGTGGGAGGGACCAGCTTTGTGACTATGCTGATAACGTATAGCAGGGAACAGGCCTGAGCCTCTGTCTCTGAGGGAGCCAGTGGAGAGTGGGGACTGGGTGGAGATGGTGAGAGGGCTGCAGTCACAGAAGGTCAGGCCAGCCTCAGCCATGGCTTTGTGTCGTTCTGTCCCCTTCTCCCCAGGGGCTCTGACACCTGGGTTTGCAATGAAAACACTTGCCTCAACACTCCCTGGTAGTCTAGCCTCTGCCTTCTATCAGGAGGCCCTGGGGCGGAGGCCCCTGGTCTGGCCACTAGAGGGCGCCAGTGCATTTTGGATCTGCCCTGGTGGCATCACTGGACCTGCTTGGGCCCCCACTGACCCCCAGCCTTGACTCTCAATGCCCACGGCAGCTCCCCGCAGGCAGCCTGCCAGACAAGGGCTCCCAGGCCTGGCCAAGCGCAGGGCTGGGCCCATGGTCCTGTAAACCAGGGGGTAAGAGTCCTCAAGTCGGGCAGTGTCCCTGTTTGCCAGCAGTCTCTCTCCACACCAAGTGAGGAGGAGGTCCCCAGGGTGCTAGAAACCGGGCCGGTCCCGGAGTCCTGGCTGGGACCACTTCCCTCCACCACGGCGAAACTTCAAGAGCTCCACCAGCCGCTACCAGGGCTTGTCTGCCTGGGGCTGGGCAGCGGTGTCTGGATCCTACAGTGACCCCAGAGGGGTCTCAGGGTGAGCCAGAGCCCTCAGGCTGGGTGGGGCTGGTGGGCCCTGACAGCCCTGGCTCCCGAGCAGTGGGCTGGCCTAGCGGGGCGGTGGACCTGCTCCTTTCCTGTGGGGAAGATGACGCGGCCTTGTTTGTTTGTGAAGGGTTGCCCTGGAAACGCCGTGCTGCTGCTGTTTGTAGGGGCCTTGTTGCTGGGTGGTGTCCTCCGCACTGCCTGGCCCCTGCAGGGCACTGCTCCAGGCGGAAGGGTGGAGCACGGGGAGTCTCCACTCTGTCCTCAGGAGTGGATGTCATCTCCAGTCTCTGGAGTGGGTGTTTCTTCTCTGTTTCCTGGGAGGTTGCCCTAGGCCCTCCTCACCTCTCCGGACCACAAGCTGCCAGGCAGCTCGGAGTCCCACCCATGTGCTTGGGGCTAGCTCAGAGGAGAGTTCCTGCCTAGCCTTCCCAGAGCAGACCCCCACTCCAGGTGCAGAGGTTGGGGGATGTTTTACCTGGCCACCAGGTCCCACTTCAGGACCTCCACACAGTCCATCTGGATTTGGCCTCCTTCCCTGTCCTGTTCCACAACCCCCCCCCCCAGTGCCCCCTGCCATTCATCTGTGAGGCCAGCTCCTCCTGTTGCTCCTCCAGCCCCACCTCACAGCCCCCAGTGCCCTCCAGTGTCAGCCCAGCACCCCCAGGCTAGTGACCTGTGATCAGACTTGGATTCCCCCCCTCTGCCCACCCCTTCCCCACCCCCATCTTCCCAGCTCCTGGTTGTCTCTGGGCTTCATTCCTCTTGGTTAGCTTCTTGAGCCTCTGTAGAGCTCAGTGGAGGTGTGGCCACCCATCCCTGAGGTCAGCTCACCGATGGCTGGCTTTAGCCCCAGGAGCTTCAAGCAGGTACCCTGTGTCCACGTGCCAGTGCCCCAGCTGTAGCTGTGGGCAAACAGCACTGGCTGGGGACCAGGGTGCCAGGCGTAGGCTTGCCTTTCCCCAGGGCCAGGCGGGTGTCAGGGGAGCGGGCTCAGGGTCGTAAACAAGGCCTCAACTGTTGGGTTGGGAGGCTGGAATTCCAGGCAGCTCTGCCTGGGTTTTGGCTTCAAGAAACAGAGACTGGGCACTATGCCTGCCTCCAGGGAAGGGAGGACAGGCGCACCCGTCTGGCCCAAAACAAGGGGTGCGGCTACACGGAAGGGGTGCGGTGGGGAGCCCAGACCCCTCCTCACCACCCTGGCCCTGTTCTGCTGCGTGTGGGGAGGAAGAAGAGCAGCAGCAGTGCCCTGAGCCTGGAGGCCCAGGAACCACAGCGTCCAGTCTCTCCCCACCCCCAGCCGCCTCCGCCAGCAGGCCCACCCGGGACCCACCCCAGGCCAGACAGGTCCCGGGAGACGAGCTGCTGAAAATAGGCCCTGGGAACTTGTGAGTGTCCTGCACCAGGCCGGGGAGGGGCTGGACGTGGGAGGCCAGAGCTATGTCTGGCGGGGTTCAGCTTGTTTTCCTGCCGGAAGCACATGGCCCTGGGTGTGCCTCCCCCCACCCCCCCGTGAGGCAGGGGGGCCTCACACCTGCACACCTGCAGTGAGGGACCAGGTGAGGCGCCCGGTGAGCACAGTTCTGCCAAACTTGGAGGAGGGAGGAGGCCCCTTATCAAGTTCTATGGGGCTGGGAGGGGGTGGAGATTCCACAGAGGTCAGTGGCCCGTGGACCGCTGCATGCGATCTCTGGCTGGCTTCCAGTGCTAGGTGCTGGCCAGCTGAGGGTACTGGGCATCTGAATAAAGAAGACTGGGTGAGCAGAGGAAGACCCAGAGTATCAGCTCCCAAAGTCCACGGTGTCCTCATGTCATCGCAGTATGAAGGCAGCCAGGGCAGCAGCTGGGGGCTGGCGCCGTTCCGCACCCCACTCGGCCTGCTGTGTGCTCCTGCAGAGTGGGGTGCTGGGGCCTCCATCCGGCCTGGGGTCCTTGTCCTGTTGGCCTGCTGAGGGGTCCCTCCCAGGGGCAGCCTGGGAAGGAGGGGCCTGGCAGGCTGGCAGGAGCCCGGCCCTTGCACCTGGGTGGAACTGAGGCCCTGGGAAGGGGGCAGCAACTGGTGCCACTTAAGCCTCTGTCAGGATTGGGGGTGAGACCAGTGGTCTGGACACAGGCTGGGTGCAGTAAGGAAGAAGGGACTGGGGGCCGGAGGGACACCGCAGACAGTGAGGGACTCCTCCTCCCAGACAGGTTCTAGCAATGTGTCTGTGATCATGTGTGTGCACATCTATGTGTCTGTCTTTCTGTATGTCTGTACTCTTTCTCTCTTTCTCTTTGAGATAGGGCCTGGTCCTGAACTCATGATCTTCCTGCTTTGCCCTCCTGACAGCTAGGGAACCAGGTGTGCACTGCTGATCACCACACAGAGGAGTCACCCTGCCCCCTCCTCCTCCCCCGGGGACCATGGCAACAGGAAATAACAGTAGGGAGGGCAGGAAGGGCTCATCTTGGGTTTGCCAGGAGGGCTCCCTGGGCTGGGGGGGGGGTTGGATTCACATGTGGGAGAAGGCGCTATCTCTGGGGTTGAGGTTGGGTAATGGAAGATGGAGGGAGAGGTCCCTGCTCCTGGTGGCATTGGAAAATGTCCCCAGCTCAGAGCTGAGAAGGTTCTGTACATACCCTGGGGTGGTGTGGAGTTGGAAGGAAATGTGCCCAGCAATGTGCTTAGAGACCTCACAGACTCTGGGGACACAGGCAAGAGGTATGCCCGCAGGCTCAGGACACCTGCGTCCAGACACCCAGGTCCCGCCCCCTGAGCACGTGGTCACAGTGGAGCCCCGGCAGCCTGCCGGGCGCCTCCAGGCCTGCACCCTGCCACACCCTGGCAGGCCGGTGGGTGTACTGCCTGTGTGGCCAGGCTGCAAGGATCTGCAGTGGCCGAGCCTCCAGCACCCCCCCTTGTCACCAGAACTTCCTCCATTCTGAAGCCTCTACTAGGCTTTCATGCCCTGGCCAGGCCCCTGCAGCTGCCTCCTTTCTGGCCTTCAGCCTGTGGGGTTTGGAGGACTCAGGGGCCCCTGAGGGATGGGGAGGGAGGTGGAAGAAGGGCTGCTCCTGCTGGGTGCAGGCTCCCCAGGGTGGAGACTGAGGGGTTCACCTTTTTCTGTTTTTGTCAGTCATGGGGCCTGAACTCTGGGCCTGGGCGCTGTCCCTCAGCTCTTCAGCTCAAGGCTAGCGCTCTACCACTTGAGCCACAGTGCCACTTCTAGCTTTTTCTGCTTATGTGGTACTGAGGAATGAACCCAGGGCCTCATGCCTGCGTGGCAAGCGCTCTACCACTGAGCCACCTTCCCAGCCCTGGAGTTCACCTTTGCAGGCCTGTGTGTGCACACCTGTGAGAGGCCTCAGGCTGAGCCCCAGGCAGGGGCAGAGCTGGGGCCTGGGGGGAGGCCCGGCAGGGCGGGGGCCAGGGTGCACCTGTGGGATTCCTGAAACCCAGGCTTTTGCTCCAGACTTACCCCGAGTCCCAGACGGGCATGTGGAGACGGAAGTGCCCGCTGCCCCCTCCACCCCGCTCCGTTCCAGGCCTCGGCCCGCGATGGTGAGCAGGAGGGCCTCAGAGAGGCGCTGGGCCCCGGGGTGGGGGCTCGGGCCTGCACGGGCCCAAGGGTTCGTCTTGGGTTTGGGATGGGTGTGTGTGCGATGGGGGGGACAGGGATGCGGTCCGGGGCCCGGCCCCACGCCCCGCACTCCCCGCGGGCCGGGAGGTCTCCGCCAGGCACCGCGCGGGCCGCTCCCCGCCTCGGCGTGGACTTGGGCCGCTCTCCCCGCAGAGATAAGCGCCCGGGCTGTGCGCGTCCGCGCCCACCGACCTCTAGCCCCGGCCTTTTGGCCCCCAGGCCTGGGTTCCACACCCGGCGCCGGGGAGGGGCCGAGGCGGCCGGACCCAGTCCCGGGGCGGGCGGTCCCGCCGCTGTCCGCTCCCCCGGAGCCGTCCCGCAGGGCCTCGGGGCGGGGCCTAGCGGGGCGGGGCCTGAGCTGTCGGGGCGGGGCCTGGCCTCCGGCGGGGCGGGGCCCGAGCTGTCGGGGCGGGGCCTGGCCTCCGGCGGGGCGGGGCCCGAGCTGTCGGGGCGGGGCCTGGCCTCCGGCGGGGCGGGGCCCGAGCTGTCGGGGCGGGGCCTGGCCTCCGGCGGGGCGGGGCCCGAGCTGTCGGGGCGGGGCCTGGCCTCCGGCGGGGCAGGCGGGCGCGCTGGCCCCAGGCCCTCGCTGAGCTCCGGGGCAGGGGCGCGGCCAGGTGACTCTTGGGATGCGCCCCCACCCTCGTTCCGGGGAGGGCAGGGTCCACCGGTTGGCCAACGCCAACTCGCGCCTCTCGTACTCTAGAAGTGACCGACCCTTCCCCTCCGGTTCCGGCGGGTCTGCGGCCAGGCCGGGCGGCCGCGCCCGACCCCGGCCCCAGTCGCCTTGGGCAGCTGCGCTGTCCCAGGCTGGGGTCCTGGCCCGGACCCGCCCCAGGGCCCTACCCCCGAAGGGGCCCCGCTCGGCCCTCGGCCGGTGGCCGGCGTGGACCTCTGTGGCCTGGACTCGAGGCCCGGGGCCTCCAAGTCTCGGGCTGGGGCGTGACCTCGGTCAGGGGGCGTGACCCCCCGGTGGGCGTGGCCCCGCGGCCCCTGAAAAGCGCGGGCGCGGCGGCACCGCCCGGTCCGCGCTCAGCCGCCGCCGAGTCTCCGCTGCCCACGACGCCGCCATGCCCAAGTGCCCCAAGTGCGACAAGGAGGTGTACTTCGGTGAGCGCCGGGCCGCACGGGGCGGGCGGGGCGCCGCGGCCCGGGCCCGGGCTCCCTGCTCGGCCGGGCGCCGGCCCCGGGCTGGACGGGGCGCGGCGGGCGCCGCCCTCCCTCCAGACGCGGAGTCGGACGCCTGGGGCGCCGTCCCGGTCCCGCCTTCCTGCCCCTGATCCTCCGTCGCCGGGAGCGGGACGCGGGGCCGGGAGAGGCGGGGTGGGGGGAGCGCGGGCGAGCACCGGGTCTCACCGGGATTGCTGTGCTTCCGCAGCCGAGCGAGTTACCTCGCTGGGCAAGGACTGGCACCGGCCCTGCCTGAAGTGTGAGAAATGCGGGAAGACGCTGACCTCGGGGGGCCACGCCGAGGTGGGTGTGCGGGCGGCCGAGGTGGGTGTGCGGGCGGCCGGGGCTACGGGGTGGGGGCCAGGCCGGGGTGGGTGTGCGGGCGGCCGGGGGCTACGGGGTGGGGGCCAGGCCGGGCCTCACCGCGCTTCTCCCCGCAGCACGAGGGCAAGCCCTACTGCAACCACCCCTGCTACTCGGCCATGTTTGGGCCCAAAGGTACGTGCTGGGGCGGACGGAGGCCCCGCACCTCCCGAGGCCCCAGCGCCCTCACCCGCTCCCTCTTCTCTGCAGGCTTTGGACGAGGCGGAGCTGAGAGTCACACTTTCAAGTAGACTCAGGTACCGCCTCCCCCCCCCAGGTCCCCTGGCCGGCCGCGCTCCAGGCGCTCCAGGCCGCGGGGCGGGGCGGGGCGGGGCCGGGCAGCGCACTGCAGCTCCGCTCTTCTGTGCAGGCCTTGGAGATCCTGTCCTCCGGCACCCGCTGGGTCACTGCCTGTCCTGGGCAGATGCCAGGCCTCGCTCCTGGATGCCCAGGATCCCAAGTAACCCTTCATGCCCTCAATAAAACCGGAGTGCCTTCAACGCCCGTGCGTGTGTGTGTGTGAGCGCGCGACCGCGCGCGCCTGCGTGGGCTGCACATGCCGCAGCCCTGGTGGAGGGCTCGTTGCAGCCAGGCTCCAGCCTTGGGCTCAGCTTTTCCTGCCACAGCAGATAACACTGGCCACTGCCTTCCTGTAGGTGAAGCCACAAAGGGAGCCCAAGTCTGCCACCTCCTGGGAAGGCCCGCAGAGGTACCCTAGTCCTCCTGGGCAGTTCTGGCCGAAGGGTCAGTGGGGACAGGAGGCCAGGGAGAGGCTGAAGCCCGGTCAGAGGGTAAATCTGCTGGGTTGGTTGTGGGTTCCCTTTCTGAGACTCTTTGGGGAGTTGTGGTCTGGCTTCTTGCCTGTCCCTTTGTGCTTCCTGCCACCCCACCCTGTCCCCATCCCCCAGATTTCTGCAGGGCCCTACAGCTGCTGAAGCTTTCACACAGACAGCACCCCCACTTTCGCCCTTCTCTCTGCCCAGACACACCTAGGGGGCCTCTGCTCAGCAGTGGAGGGAGCTTCACGCCCCCGGTGGCTGGGGCTGGTGGGTCTCACCTGCTATTCTAGCTACTCAGGCTGAGATCTGATCTCAGATACCTTACGTCACTGGCAGAGCCAAAGAGACCCTGCGGTCTGGGCCTTCCCCGGCCTAGTCTGCCCCAGGCCTTGGGGGAGGGGAGGGTGGCCGCGGGTCGGTGAGTCTGGAATTCTAAGAGAAGGGGGGGGCTTTCAGATGACGGCGAGGCCGCGGGGGGGGGGGGCAGTGTAGGGTGTGTCTGGCCTCCGGGCAAGGGCAAGGAGCCGCCCTTCCTCCCCGAGCGCCCCCTGCTTTGCCCTTGGCCCCCTCCCGGGAGTCTTTTCTCCCCCACAGTCCTGATCTCCCGCCCGGCCGCGGAGGCCCCCATCCAGATTGCGGCCAAGGGGGGGCGGCCTTGGGGAAGAACTCGGCGAGCTAAGATCTGCGGAAAGGGTGGGGGTCATCGCTGGGCCGCCGCAGGGAGACGGGGGCCGAGCAGCCGTGGGCGGGGCAGCGCGGGTACCACGGGGGAGGAGGCCGCGGCAGGGGCTCGTGTGGGGACAGGACGGGCAGGTGCAGGGCGGGGCGCGCGAGGCCGGGGGAAGGCAGGCCAGCCCGGCGCCGGAGGCTGAGCGCTGAGGGCCGCGGTTCGAAGCCAGCCCGGGCAGGAAAGGCCGTGAGACGATCACCATCAAGGAACCACCAGAAAACCGGAAGTGGCGAGGGGGGACAGCGCCCGGGCCCCGAGTTCGAGAAAGCAAAGGAGGGAGCGGCAGCGAGCCGGTCCCGGGGCGCGCCCCCCGCCTTCCGGCCCGGGCGGCGCAGGGCGCGGTGCGGCCGGGCTCCCGCCAGGCCCGGACGGAGAGGAGGGGCTGCGGAGCGGCTGCGGGGCCCGCGCGCCTGCGCACAGGGCCCGCGCTGGCCGCCCTGGAGCCGTCCCGCTCCGCAGGAAACAGACACCAATTCCTAGTCTCGGACAGGCGGGAAGGCGGCCCGGGTCGGGACGCAGCGCCGGGCCTTGGCTCCTAACGGCTCTTCCAGGAGCAGCGGAGCCCGCAGAGCCCCGCAGGTCCACACCGGGAAGACAACGCCGCCGGGCCGCGGCGCCGCCTGGCGGCCTGGTCTGGACGGGCTCGGCAAGGCACTGGCCTCGGGAACGCGCGCCCTGCCGCCGTGCGCGTCCCCCAGGCGTGGGGCTGTGCCGCCGTGCGCGTCCCCCAGGCGTGGCGCTGTGCCGCCGTGCGCGTCCCCACCCCAGGCGTGACGCTGTGCCGCCGTGCGCGTCCCCACCCCAGGCGTGCGCTGTGCCGCCGTGCGCGTCCCCACCCCAGGCGTGCGCTGTGCCGCCGTGCGCGTCCCCACCCCAGGCGTGGCGCTGTGCCGCCGTGCGCGTCCCCGCCTCTGGAGGGCGCTCGGCTGCCGTGTGCGCTCCTCCTCCTCCTCCCCCCCCCCCCCCGCGTGGCGCTGTGCCCCCGTGCGCGTCCCCCAGGCATGGCGCTGTGCCGCCGTGCGCGTCCCCCACCCCCCGCGTGGCGCTGTGCCGCCGTGCGCGTCCCCCACCCCCCGCGTGGCGCTGTGCCGCCGTGCGCGTCCCCCCCCCCCCCCGCGTGGCGCTCGGCCGCCGTGCGCGACCCCCGCCTCTGGAGGGCGCTCGGCCGCCGTGTGCGCTCCTCCTCCCCCCCTCCCTCGTGGCGCTGTGACGCCACGCGCTGGCGGCGTCCCCCGTGGTTGCTAGGTGACTGGGGATCTGAAGCATTGATTGGCGGGTTCCAGGCGAGGCGGGAGAAGATTGGGCCTCCGAACTCCAACCGGAAGGAACTGACAAGACCGCGGAGCCAGGAACTACTCCGCGCCCGAAACGGGCGCCTAGCCGCCGTTCATTGGCCCAGGGCTCCGGGCGGCCGGCGACAGGAACCGCGGCCCGCCGCGGCGGGAGGTCCGAGGCTGCCGGCCGCATGGGGAGGCGGCGGCGCAGCGTGGCCGGGGCGGCCGGGGCGCTGCCCGAGGCCATCGCCGCGCTGAGTCGGTCGCTGCCCGCCGGGCCCAGCCCCGAGGTCTTCCGTCGCGCTAAGTTCGACCGGCCGGAGGCGGTGAGGCTAGCGGGGCGGCCGGGCGGCAGGGCCGGGCGTGGCTCGGGCGCCCCGCGCTGACCGGCCGCGCGCCCTCCGTGCCCCGCAGGCCCCCGCGCTCTGGCAGCTCCTCTTCCGTGTGCTGTCGCCGCCGCCCGCGGACTGCGGCCTGGGCCCGGGTAAGCCGCAGAGCCCCGCCCGCGCCCGGCCCGCGCCCCGATCCCTGGCCCCGCCCCCCTCCCAGATCCCGGGCCCCGCACCCCGGACCTCAGACCCCGCCCTCCCATCCCAGATCCTGGATCACTGACCCCGATCCTGTTCCTCGGATCCCAGATCTCAGATTCCGGGCCCCGTCCCCGGATCCCAGACCCCGCCCCCCGTCCCAGATCCCAGGCCCCACACCCTGGACCTCAGACCTCGCCCTCCCATCCCAGATCCTGGATCCCTGACTCCGGATCCTGTTCCCGGGATCCCAGGTCTCAGATTCCGGGCCCCGCCCCCGGACCCCAGACCACCCCCCTATTCCGGATCCCGCTCCCCTAGGGGTCCGAGAGGCCGCCCTGCCCCCCCCCAATCTGCCCTCCTCCCAGCCCCTGAAGGGGTGTCTTTGGGACAGGAGCCTGGTCAGACCCGCCCGCTGTCCACAGAAGTCCTACCCGTTAGCTGCCTGCCTCATCCCAGGCACGTCCTGGGGGCCTGGGGTGATCCAAGTCGCCCTTCCAGTTAGGGGCCCTCCTGAGCCGGTGGTTTCCTACTGCAGAGGCCCAGGCCAGCGTGGTGAGGTCAGCGCTGCGCATCCGGGGGTACCCTCGCTCGCTGCCCGCACAGCCTCCTGAGGACGGCTCCTGGGGCAGCCGGGAGCTGCTGCTGGCCCTGTCCTGGCTCCTAGCCCGGGGCCCCCTGCTCGAGCAGCTGCTGGCCCAGGCCCGGGTACAGCTGGGTGACCCTGTGCCCCAGTGCCAGGTGAGTGTGGAGGGAGGGGGGCGGCGGCGGGCACAGGCCGGCCTGCAACTCCAGATGCTCTGTGACCAAGCAAGGACAGACCGCAGCAGCGTCTCTCTCGCCCTTCAGGAAGGCACTCTGAGGTGCTCTGGTTGTCTAACTTAGGATGAGCAGGCTTGCACCTCTGCCCACCCCCACCCAGCACTTTCTTCCGGGCAGAGTAGAGTGTGGAGCAGTCTGACAGTTACTTATTTGTTGGTACTGTGGCTTGAACTCAGGGCCTAGTTGTTATTCCTAAGCTTTTTTGGTCAAGGATGGTACTCTGCCACTTGCGCCACAGCTCTGTTTCTAGTGTGTTGGTAGCTAATTGAAGATAAGAATCTCGTGGAATTTTTTTCCGCCTGGGCAGGCCTTGACTCTCCATCTTTAGGTCTCAGTCTCCTGTGTAGTTAGGGTTACAGGCACAAGCTATGGCTCCTGGCAGGGACCTGGCTTTTTCTTCCCTCTTCAGTGTGAGGCCCTGACTAGCTTTGGCCCACCTGAACCCCACGTGGAAGCAGAGGGCCCTGTGGACCTCCGCCAAGTGCAGTGGATGCTGGGAAAGCTGCGGTTCCGGTGGCGGCATCTGATCTCCACTCAGCAGGAGCAGTGTGCCCTCCTGAGCAAGGTATGTGGTCATGTGGTTCTCCACCCAGCAGCTGTTGAACTCTGTTCCCATTGTCAGGCTGCCTCTCCCTGCGGCCAGTCCCACTAGGCCCAGCAGGGGTTGAGCCTAGGTTTCTGTCTGGATGGAGGTTTTCCCAGGCCTGGCTGAGGCTGGAACTTCAAGGAGGTACTGTCCAGTAGAGTCCTGGAACCTGACCTCGTGCAGGTAGGGGAGCTGGACAGGGCAGAGCTGGGTAGGTGGGGCTGGAGTAGGGGACCAGCTGGGTCAGTGTTCTGAGGCCTGCAGTGTAAAGCTGGGTGTCCACCAGTGAGGTTTGCCTTGTCACAGAAATGGCAGTGGCCTTCATCTGACTCGATAAGCCACGTGTAACCAGCTGCCACCTGGCCCCTCGAGAGGCACCTGCTGTTTTAATGTCCTGGGTACTGGCAGTTCAGGGTTGGCATCAGCTCTGCTGGTGTCAGCTGCAGGGACCCAGGTGTCCAGCATTGTGAGGTCAGTGCTATTGGGTGGTTGGTTGTGGCCTACAGGTGTCTACATGTCTGCCTGTTAGGCCCTGCCAGAAAACCACGCAGACACCCAGGCACAAAGAACAAAGAAAGGTTTATTGCCAGCAAAGAGACTGGCAAGGCCACTTCTCACTAAACTAGAAGAAGTGCTGGTCAGTGTCTGAGGTGACCTTACAGCCTACAGGGGCTAGGAGGGTCTAGCAGGCAGGGACTTTGGTGCTCAGGGCAGGCTAGTATGTAACTGCCGCAGTGGAGTGCCATCTCAAGGTAAAGGCGGAGGAGGCTGACAGCTCACTGCCAGCACCCAATGGGCCTAGTGATGACCTCTCCCAGGTTCTGGGAAGGGAGCATGGGCAATGGGAAAGGGGCCTGTTGAACGGACACTGCCCCTAGCAGAGGTGCTTCCCTCCCGGGCCTGGGCTCACTGGCACAGAACACGCTTACTTCTCGACTGTAGTGGCTGCTGCTTCCCGGCCTTGCCCCTGCGAGGACTTCCCTGTCCCCTAGACGGTGTCCATTGCTCTGTGTCCCAGTGTTTCCTCCCGGCACCACTGCACCTGTCTGGAGGCTGTCCCTCTGCCAGCTGGCCTTTGGGTCACTTGGATAGCCTGGAGGGCACGCAGGGTGGGCCTCTCTACCTTATCCTGTACCTTGGGGGGCTGGGCGTGGTTCCCACTGCAGGGGGGTCCCTCGGCAGGCCGAGCTGGGGACAGGCCTGGGACCGTTCTGGGACAGCCTGGACCCTGCCCTGGATCACCTCAGGCAAGGTGTGGCTCTCTGTTTATTTTTTCTTCTTTTTTTTTTGTCAGTCTTGGGGCTTGAACTCTGGGCCTGGGCGCTGTCCCTGAGCTCTTCAGCTCAAGGTGAGCGCTCTACCGCTTGAGCCACAGCACCACTTCTGGTTTTCTGGTGGTTCATTGGAGATAAGAGACTCAGGGACTTTTCTGCCCAGGCTGGCTTTGAACCGTGATCCTCAGATCTGAGCCTCCTGAGTAGCTGGGATGGCAGGCGTGAGCCCTCGGCACTGGCTCTCTGTGTCTTCATCTCTGACTTGGGCGGGGAAGGCACTTGCCCTGAGCTGCTGGAGCGCCAGTCCTGGGAGGAGGAGCCCAGCACCACCCCACTGAGCTCTGTCCTGCCTGTTTCAGATCCACCTGTGCACCCGGGGATGCCACAGTGACCCGCGCCTCCGCCACTTGTCTGTAGCTGAGACAGAGCTGCTTAGGGACCCAGAGCGTGGCCGACAGGTGAGGGCTAGAACCGCGCTGGGGCAGGCATGCCCGCAGCGGGTGCGCTGTCAGGGAGTCTGCACAGGTGGCAGGCTCTGATCTGTGTCTCCGCATCTGTCAAGCCCGTGGTCATTGCTGGTGACAGCTGTATTCTCCTGTACTCTTCCTGTCCCTTGGACTGTCCACCTCGTCTCTCTAACATATTAGGTACTGTGTCATCTGGCAGGGTGTGGGTAGGATCCAAGTTGCTTGGTGCCTGGATTGGGCTGCAGACGCTAAGGGAGGGGCCTCTAGGACGGACGATACTGGTGTTAGATCTGCAGTGAGCCTGGAACTATACAGATGGCACCTGGTGCCCAAGGCCATGACCCAGGGTGATGGCCTGGCCTGTTGGGAAGCGTTTGCCGAGGCCAGTCCCCCCCCCCCCCCCCTCCCCCCCCGGCGAGGGCCTGCTCTGGGTCCTGGGATCCCACACAGACTCTGGGTCTCAGATGACACAGGCTGACATTGTCCTCTGGAGCTGCTGGGTCCTAGGAGAGTATCAGGGCTCTTCCCAGGCTGTCTGGTTCTTCCCAACTGTGCTGTCCCTTTCCCCGCCCATTCTCTGTCCATCCTCTGGTTACCATCTCTTGGCCAGCTTTGTGCTAGGCTTTCTAGACCATTCTGAATGTTAGGCTGGCCCTGGGCATGCCCTGCCGAGCAGAAGAGCAGGAGCTCAGGCATTGTGGCCCCTTCTTCCAGGCAGACCCTTTCTCTGTCTCTGCTCCCTAACCCTTGACCTTCACTTCATCCCATACCTCACCTGTGGCCTGGACACATGGCACCAGGGGGACACAGGGGTTAAGGGCCAGTCATCTGACTCGTGATCGGGTGGTGGTTCTTTGTGGCGTCTGGGATACTGGCTGGCAGAGTCCCTCTGGGCATCATGCTGCTGGGTGATTTGTGTGGAGCCCGTCTGGTAAGCCGCCGTGGCCTCTGGTGCTAACTATGGTTATGCCCCTGCCTGAGAGGCCAGGCCCACCCCGATTAGGGCTTGCGCGCCTGGCCTGGCTGGGGCCTGGGCTGGGCCTTCAGGTGCTATGGCATATTTGGTGTCTCCATCATCTCATGGCTCTGCCCCTCACAGGGTTGACTCAGCCCTGGGCCCTGGGTTTGAGCAAGTGGAAGCTAGACTTGCCCAGGAGTCCTGCCTGGAACCCTCTCTGTAAGATCACCTGGGTGGGAGTGGGTGCCCGTGCGTGCAGTGCGTTCCTGTCTCGGAGGCTGGCATGTGTTGGTGCCCCTGGACCCAGAGGTGGGGGTAGCAGGTGGACTGAAGCCACAGGTTGGCTTCCTTCTGGAGTGTCGGAGGGGAAGCAGACCCATGGTGCTGGGGTGGTCCCAGAACTTCCCAGACGGGCTTCTGGCTGACCCAGCGATTGGCAATCACTGGCAGAGACCCAGCCTTCCGTTTGCACCATGGGGCCTGGTTCGGACTGCACAGCAGGGGAAGAGGAAAGGTCAAGGCTCCTCTGAGTCCCCAGCCCCACGGTGGCCTAGGAGTACCAGGCACCCTGAGGCCCATTCTTGGAAGCGGCCTCAGCTGCCCTTGTGCTGGCACGTTCCGATGTCCGTTGCGGATGAGTCTGCTCTTCTGGGATGGGTGGTTGGCTCAGGGTCCCACTTTGTGTGCTCTTGTGTTTTAAGCTGGACCCCTTTAGCTTCCAGGCCTCCCATAGGTCCGTGGCTGTGGTTCTGATCGCTCCCTCTATGGGACTGGCCTTTGGCTGGCACCCAGGGCCCCTCCTGGCTCCTCAGCTCTCAGCTCTGTGGAGCCACAGGTGGGGTATTCCGGAGAGAGCTGGCATGTGCTGTCCTCTCTGCTGAGGAGCTCTGGGGTGTGCTGCAGGTGTCTATGTGTGGATACTTGCCCCAAGTACTAGCAGGGCCTCTGGCTAGGCAAAGTGCCTCTGGCGTCTGGAGGGGCTCTGCTCGTGGGTCATCAGCGCCTGTCTCTGGAGGGGACAGGGAGGGGCACTGGGTGGTCCAAAAAGGAGATACTGGGTTAGGAGTCCCTGGCCAGAGCCCTGGGCTCCTGCCAGCCTGAGGAGCAGAGGCCAGAGCCGGGCCTGTGCTGTGGCGGGCACCATGGGCCACTTGGCTGGGTGTCTCCCTGCCTGCGCTCCAGCGTGTACGGCGTGTACACAGCGGACTGTGGGCTGCAGGAGAGGTGCTTCCTCACCCGGCGCACACCCATCTCCCCTCCGAGCCCCAGTACCAACCAGGTGGGCCAGGTGCAAACTTGTCTGGAGTTCCAGCTCCCGGGGAGGGTCACCTGCTGCCGCCCGCTGGCCTTCTAGGCCTCTCCTCCCCGAGCCCCTCACGGTCTGTAGTCCCTCTCCTTGCGGGACAGTGGGGGGGACGTGTGTGCTCAGGCTGGGCTGCCAAGCCCGGCGGCCCGCGGAGGTGGGAGCCTCCCCAGGGCTGAAGCCTCCAGGAGGCAGCGGGAGTGGGGATGGGGTGGGATGTGGGGCCTGCCCACCCCGGAGGGCCCCACGCGGGAAGCTCGTGGGTCTGTGGAGGCTGGGGTAGTGTGGCCCAGCCTGACTGTTCCCCAGCTGCTGCGGGCGCTGGAGCGTGAGAACGCCCACCTGGAATCGGTGCTGGAGTGGCGGCGCCTGGAGCTGGTCTACTGGCGGTGGATGGTGAGCAGCCTCCCCTGCCTGCTCCCCTCTGTGGTGGGCGTGGGGTGGGATGGGGGCTTATTTTCTGGTGACTGGCCCTCACTTTAGATCCTCCCCCAAGTATGGGCTGGGTGCCTTCCTGAAAGCTGCGTGTCAGGGGCTGACCAGCCCCTGGTGGGATCCTGGGGGGAGCCCCCCCCCACTTCCAGTCCCTCTGGCTGGGATCCTGGGGGAGGGGGAGCCCTGACTTCCTGTCCCTCTGGCCAGGCCCCCGGGGGAGCCCTGACTTCCTATCCCTCTGGCCAGGACCCCGGGGGAGCCCTGACTTCCTGTCCCTCTGGGGGAGGGGGAGCCCTGACTTCCTGTCCTTCTGGGGGAGGGGGAGCCCTGACTTCCCGTCCCTCTGGCTGGGACCCCGGGTGGGGGGGGGGCGGGCAGGACTTCTCACTCGGGTCTCTGTCAGGACACAGTCCTGGGTGCCTGTCCCGAGGACCCCACCAAGGCCTCACAGCCGGCACTCCCGCCTGTCACCTCCGGGCACAGGCTTGGTAAATTGGAGCTGGCAGCGCAGGAACTGCGTTCCCTGCAGGAGGAGCTGCGGGAGCTGGTGGAGCCCCGGAGGGCGGCCTGGCAGGCCCAGGTGAGCCCCGCAGTAGCCCTGCCCCCTGCTCTCCTGGCCCTCGCCCCTTCCCCTCCAGCCTCATCTCCCCGCACCTCCCCTCCCCTGCCTGACCACTCATTGGGTGAGCCACTAGTTGAGTGACCTGGCTGGATGGACTCAGTTGGGCACTTTGGTAAATACTCTGGCACCAGCTCCAGCAGGGCAGAGGGTGTGAGGTGCAGGGCCTGTGGCTCCACGTGGTGGGTTTTGCGCTGGCGTGTCTGTGCGTGGGGAGGGGCGGCGGGGAGCCCATGTGGAATCGTCTCTGGTCTCTCACTGCTGGTCTGGGACCTGATCTGGACACTAGCCGTGTCCAGCTGACGTTCGCATCCTGCTCAAGGATTTGCATGCTGCATGTTGCGCTTTTTTTTGTTCTGGAGCACTGTGATGGGAGCCCCGAGCACACCCCTCCTTAAGCCTCCCAGATCGGGGCTCCCATGCTGGCTCTCCCGCGGGCTGCTAGGGGAGGCAGGGCCCCTCTTCCCCGGCTCTCCCGCGGGCTGCTAGGGGAGCCAGGGCCCCTCTTCCCCGGGTCCCCCGCGGGCTGCTAGGGGGCAGGGCCCCTCTTCTCCGGGTCCCCCGCGGGCTGCTAGGGGGCAGGGCCCCTCTTCCCCGGCTCTCCCGCGGGCTGCTAGGGGGCAGGGCCCCTCTTCCCCGGGTCCCCCGCGGGCTGCTAGGGGGCAGGGCCCCTCTTCCCCGGGTCCCCCGCGGGCTGCTAGGGGGCAGGGCCCTCTTGCCCGGCTGTGAGGGCCTCACTTGGCCCACCTTTGCACCTTGGTGTGTTTTTTTTTTGCCAGTCGTGGGGCTTGAACTCTGGGCCTGGGCGCTGTCCCTCAGCTCTTCAGCTCAAGGCCAACGCTTTACCATTTGAGCCACAGCACCATTTCCAGCTTTTTCTGCAGATGTGGTGCTGAGGAATCGAACCCAGGGCCTTGAGCATGCAAGGCAAGCGCTCTACCACTGAGCCACCTTCCCAGCCTCTTTGGAGGCAGAGCCCAGTAAGCAGGGTCTTCAGAGGCCTGAGTGGCTTCCTGAGGTTGCTGAGTGGCCTCCTGCTCAGGCCCACTGTCCACAACGTCTCTTGGCGGCCTCCTGGGGCTGTATGTCCCCTGGGTCGGCTCTGACCTGGAGGACTAGGGAAGTGCTGGAGCAGATGATGGTGGGGAGGTGATGCGGAGCCTGGAGTGGAGCTACTCAGGACCTTCTCTGAGCTCGGGTGGGCCTGGAGATGGAGATGTGCCAGAGCTGCAGAGCCACCCCAACTCTGCCCATGAAGCTCCTCAGGGAAGAAGCCTGGGGCCCAGAGTGGGTCCGTTTCCCTAGTCTTGGAGGTCCTTTGTGCCTGGCAGCTGCTGGCGAGGGACTCGGGGACTTGGTAGGGAGCCGGGTGTGAGCAGCCTACTGCCTGCCCCTGGCAGGAGTTGTCTGGCTTGAGGCTGCTGGCGGCCCCGTGCGGGCTGAGCCCTGTGTGCGGGAGGCTTTGGAGCCACAGTCTTTTTTCCGGTGCAGGTTGAAGGCCTAGGCCGGGGTCCGGCATGGAGTCCGTCTCGGAGAGCTTTGCAGAAGGTCGTGGCGCAGGAGTTGGAGGCCCTGTGGGTGTCTTGGGAGTTCTCTGGGGACTCTGCCCGGCCTCAAGGACCCCACCGCCTGGTGAGGACTGAGGACAGGGCGGCAGGGTCCCCCGGCCTGCGAGCGGCCGAGGTGATTGGGACGCTGAGGACGCAGGTGGCCTGTCTGGAGGCCACACTGCGCCGCCGGCGGGAGCGCTGCCGGCAGGAGCTGGCCCGGCTGGCGGGAGCCCTGCCCGGGCTCATCTGGATCCTGCCACCCGGACGCTGAGGGCCACGCGTGTCCTGTGCAGGGAGCCTGGGGACAGACTTCAGGGCTGACGCAGAGGTCGAGCCACGCGCTCCCGGGCTGCGGCTCTGACTCAAGGAGCAAGCCCAGGAACTTGGCTCACACTGTGGTTGCAGGCGGGGTTGCCCCTCCTTGGAGGACCCGGAGGGGCCTAAAATACATGTGGTGGCCCTGTCTGCGGCCCAGCCCTCCACGGTGCGGTCAGGTTTCTGTTTTGGGGCTGGCAGCACAGGGTGCTTGGCGGCCTGGGAGGGGCTGTGAGGCCTGCGTCCCGCCTCCTGGTCCCACAGTGCACAGCTCCTGTGCCCGCCCTGTGTGCTGCGGGTGGACGGGCCCCGGGCTCTGCTGTTCTCTGCGGCGGTGCCTGGAACTGAGTCTTGGCCGCGGTGTAGACAGAGGGCCTTTGTTCTGGGAGCTGCAGTGCAGTCTCACCCTGACAAAGCCGCCTGTGTCTGGGATGTGCCCACCGCCGTGGTGCGCCCTCCCGACCCACCCTCCTGCCAGTCAGCAGACAGGGGCGGTTCGGGCGTCTCCAGCCTGCCTTGCTCCCAATCCCCAAGCCCTGCATCCTGACGGAGCCCACGAGGCCACTTCCCGCGCCCTGCCAGCCCAGACCTGAAGCTGCGTCCAGCCCCTGGCCCGGGGGCCTCTGGCAGGCATGCTCCAGGGGGTACACACTGGAGGGACGGGCGGCCCCAGGGCACCTGCTCCGGTCAGGGCCACCTCTGTCCCTGGGTCAGTAGAGGTGCCGTGCTGCCTTTACTCAGTCTGGCTGATTTTACGCACGCTGCTGGATGGGGCTGTGTCCAGCAGGTTCCCCCTTTCTGCACAGATATGGCTGTGAGAGTTACTGGCCACTTCTCCGGGTCAGTGCCCACTTCCTTCCCTGGCCGGGAGGCCTTGTGTGTTGAGCAAATCTACTTAGGTTGCCAGACTTTTTTTTGTTTTCTGTCAGTCATGGGGCCTGAACTCTGGGCCTGGGCGCTGTCCCTCAGCTCTTCAGCTCAAGGCTAGCGCTCTACCACTTGAGCCACAGCACCACTTCCGGCTTTTTTTTTCTGCTTATGTGGTGCTGAGGAATTGAACCCAGGGCCTCATGCATGCAAGGCAAGCACTCTACCACTGAGCCACCTTCCCAGCCCAACTGCCAGCCTTTTAAAAGCTCCCTGGACCAGCCTTTGGGAACTGACTTTAAAAATGTGGGTGCCAGAGGTTGGGAATGTGGTTCAGTGGTAGAGTGCTTGGGTTTGATTCCTCAGTACCACATGCACAGAAAAAGCCACAAGTAGCACTGTGGCTCAAGTGGTAGAGCGCTAGCCTTGAGTAAACCAAGCTTGGAGACAGTGCCCAGGCCCTAAGTTCAAGCAAGCCCCAGGACTGGCAAAACAAACAAAAAATGTGGGTGCCAGGTGCCGATGGCTCACGCCTGTAATCTTTGCAACTCGGGAGGCTGGCCAGGGAAGTCTCTAAGACTCTTATCTCCAATTAACCACCCACAAGCCGGAAGTGGAGCTGTGGCTCAAAGCAGTAGAGCGATACCTTCGAGTGAAAAAGCTCAGGGACAGTGCCCAGGCCCTGAGTTCAAGCCCCATGACTGGCAAAATAAGTAAGAGAAGCAGCAGGACTGGGGGGGGGGGGGGGGGCGTGCTGTGGTAGAGCACTTGGATGTGTAAAGCTCTGGGTTCAATTCCCAGCAACAGGAAAAATAAAATAAAAAACAATGTAGCCATCAAGTGACTCCACAGTTCTTACCCACAGGGTGTGGGGCAGGGTCCAGGGAGATGCTGGCCGCAGCTGGCCTGGACACGTCATGGATTCCTACCATGCATGTGTCTGGGCATGTCAGACACTACACCATAAAGGAAGGACAGTCCACGGTATGTGCTGCGGGCAGCATCGCGGGCAGACCTGGGTTGTTGCACACACTGCCTTTGGTTTTGTCTGGTTGTAGTCCCCCTCTGTGGGCCACGGGCCCCCCGCCAGGTGAGGACCATGTTCTCCTGTAGGTCCAGCACCCATGTGGCGTGGGGTCCAGTCCTGCTGGCCCCCAGCTCTGGCTGATGGCTACGTCCTGTAGGGAGGGAAGTTCATCTAGTTGGGCAGTGCTGACCCCTGCTCCACCAGGGGGACCTAGGTGCCACGCTGGCGTGGGCTCTTCTTGCTCTAGTCCCTGGGAATGCGTGTAGATGAGGAGGACTTGTAGTCTTGTTAGTTTCTGAGAGCTTCTGGGGTGGGTTGACCCCCAGGCTTGCGCTGCGGCCCAGCTCTCAGGACTTAGTCTCTAAGTGCTCAGGGGAGGGTCGGTGCCAGGTGCTGCTAGCGGCCTGGCGAAGTCCAGCAGTTGGCAGCGCAGTCCGTGGTGGGCAGTGCCAGCAGGTGTTCCCACTCCCAGTCCCTGTCAGGACACTCGCTGAGCTCCTGGGTGGCCCCTGGCCTCCGGGGAGCAGCCCTTGGCCTCAGGCTTTGGCAGCTCCCAGGAAGTTCCGGCGCCTTGGGTGTGTGCCCTCTCGCCTCCCACCTCTGGCTCCGGCGGCTCTGACTGCTCCTCTCCTGCTTCTGATGCCTTGGCTGGGGCTGTCTCCCCTGCAGCTGCATTCACTGCCATCAGAAGGCCCCAGACAGAAAGCCTCTGCTTGGTTGATGGTTTCAGAACATCGTATCAGCAAAACGATCGGAGTTAGCAGGTGCCTAACACAGAAACCACCTGTGTGGTGGAGTCTGCTTTAGGAATGGCCCCAATAGTTGGGCCTCTAGCATTGGGCCCCAAGCTCTTAGTGTTTCTCTCTTCTTCACTGCTTCATAATTGGCCTTTGTGTGTGTGTGGTATATATGTGGTGCTTGCATTTATTAGGCAGATGCTCTACCACTTAAACCATGCCCCAGCCCTTTTTGGTTTTAGTTAATTTTCAGGTAGCATCTCATGATTTTTTTCCCCCAGGGCCAGCCTTAGACTGTGATCCTCCTACTTATTACCTCCCAAGTAGCTGGGATCACAAGCATGTGCTGCTGTGCCAGGCTTAGTGGTTGAGATAGGGTTTTCTGTTCCGTCTGGCCTCAAACCACGATCCTCATGATTTCTACCTCCCAAGCAGCTGGGGTTACAGGTGTGATCCATCTTGTGGCTTGCTTCATTCACTTGCCTAATCAAACCTTTACCCACCTTCTAGTCTGTGAATTGTGTTGGAATTCTTTTCACCAGTGCATTTAAGAGTCCCCAAACAGGGCTCTGTCTAATGAGTCAAGGTTTGGCTCACACTTGTAATCTGAGCTAATTAGGAGGCTGGGTTCTGAGGAAAATGGTCCTTGAGATTCTTATCTCTGGCCACCAAAGGGCCAGAAGCAGAGTTGTGGCTCAAGTGGTAGAGTGCTCTCCTTGAACAAAAAACCTCAGGGACAGCCCACAGGCCCCGAGTTCAGGCCCCAAGACTGGCACAAAACCAAAACAATCCTTCCAGACCCTATCCTGGTGATATAGTGTGGTGGAGAGCGTGGGGATCCCTGTGCCCCACAGACAGTGGAGAGCGTGGGGAGCCCCGTGCCCCACAGACAGCAGAGAGCGTGGGGAGCCCCGCGCCCCACAGACAGCGGAGAGCGTGGGGAGCCCCGTACCCCACAGACAGCGGAGAGCGTGGGGATCCCTGTGCCCCACAGACAGTGGCGAGCGTGGGGAGCCCCGTACCCCACAGACAGCGGAGAGCGTGGGGATCCCCGTGCCCCACAGACAGCGGAGAGCGTGGGGAGCCCCGTGCCCCACAGACAGCGGAGAGCGTGGGGAGCCCCATGCCCACAGACAGCGGAGAGCGTGGGGAGCCCCGTGCCCACAGACAGCGGAGAGCGTGGGGAGCCCCGTACCCCACAGACAGTGGAGAGTGTGGGGAGCCCCATACCCACAGACAGCGGAGAGCGTGGGGATCCCCGTACCCCACAGACAGTGGAGAGCGTGGGGAGCCCCGTGCCCCACAGACAGTGGAGAGCGTGGGGAGCCCCGCGCCCCACAGACAGCGGAGAGCGTGGGGAGCCCCGTACCCACAGACAGTGGAGAGCGTGGGGATCCCTGTGCCCCACAGACAGCGGAGAGCGTGGGGAGCCCCGTACCCCACAGACAGCGGAGAGCGTGGGGATCCCTGTGCCCCACAGACAGTGGAGAGCGTGGGGAGCCCCGTGCCCCACAGACAGCGGAGAGTGTGGGGAGCCCCGCGCCCCACAGACAGCGGAGAGCGTGGGGAGCCCCGTACCCCACAGACAGTGGAGAGCGTGGGGATCCCTGTGCCCCACAGACAGTGGCGAGCGTGGGGAGCCCCGTACCCCACAGACAGTGGAGAGCGTGGGGAGCCCCGTGCCCCACAGACAGTGGCGAGCGTGGGGAGCCCCGTGCCCCACAGACAGTGGAGAGCGTGGGGAGCCCCGTGCCCACAGACAGCGGAGAGCGTGGGGAGCCCCGCGCCCCACAGACAGCGGCAGAGAGCGTGGGGAGCCCCGTACCCCACAGACAGCGGAGAGCGTGGGGATCCCCGTGCCCCACAGACAGCGGAGAGCGTGGGGAGCCCCGTGCCCCACAGACAGCGGAGAGCGTGGGGAGCCCCGTGCCCCACAGACAGCGGAGAGCGTGGGGAGCCCCGTGCCCACAGACAGCGGAGAGCGTGGGGAGCCCCGTGCCCCACAGACAGCGGAGAGCGTGGGGAGCCCCGTACCCCACAGACAGCGGAGAGCGTGGGGAGCCCCGTGCCCCACAGACAGCGGAGAGCGTGGGGAGCCCCGTACCCCACAGACAGCGGAGAGCGTGGGGAGCCCCGTGCCCACCGACCTCATGCTGCAGGACTGAAGTTCTGCGCTGCAGGACTGAAGTTCTGCCAGCAGCTGCAGAAGCCTGCAGACCTCCTTCCGCGAGCGAAGGGCTCCCGCTCAGGACGCTCTTGGGGAATAGTCCCGCAAGCAGCTGCGTGCGCTGCGGTGTGTGGTTTAGAACCCAAGAACGGCCCGAGACATAGCAGCCCCAGAATGGCTGGCAGAGGCAGCACAGGTGGGCAGCCCCAGGAGGGGGGAGAGGAGGCCGCGAGTCCTGACAGCCAGTGGGTGAGTCCAGTCCTCCCTGTGCCAGGCTTGACGGTGTTCCTTGATCCTGAATCACTTCACACTGGGAGCAGGTGAACTGGTGATGGAGACTTGACTGGTGGGCACCGTGTGGGGCCCCGGAGCCCCCAGAGCACAGTCCCCACGGCCTGCGGTCAACGGCCGCTCCCTGGGGCTCCTGGTCTCTGCTTCAGACCTGGGGCTGCTGAGACTTCTTGGTACACAGCACACAGAGATCCTCAGTTGTTTTTTTTTTTTCTTGTGCCAGTCCTGGGGCTTGAACTCGGGGGTTGGGCGCTGTCCCCGGGCTTTTTTTCTTTTTTTTTTGGGTCTGGTCATGGGGCCTGAACTCTGGGCCTGGGCGCTGTCCCTCAGCTCCAGCTCAAGGCTAGCGCTCTACTACTTGAGCCACAGCGCCATTTCCGGCTTTTTTCTTTTTGCTATGTGGTGCTGAAATATCGAACCCAGGGCCTCAGGCACGCAAGGCACGCGCTCTACCACTGAGCCACCTTCCCAGCCCTTTTTTTTTTTAAATTGTGAATACCGTATAGAGGGTTACAATTACTCCTTCAAGCCTTAATCAGATTGGACAACTCACCTGAGTTTCTGACCTGCTGTGATTTTTATGTTCTGTAACAGAGATGCTGTGAACCCAACTTGGCAGAGATACTGGACGGAAAGTGCCCAGGGCTGACCTCGGCACTCTCTTAAGTTCTTGAGGTATCAGAAAGGCTGTGTCCCTGGGTTTTCCCAAAAACTTTAAGACACCTTGCACCACCGTGAGGAGTCTGTGTCAGCCAGCGGCCTCGCCGCTGCCTGGGAGCCGCAGCTGCAGCAGAGGGAGGCCTTTGTACTTCCCATTTTGTTTCTTCCCAGTCCGCCCTCTAAGCTCACAGGGACCCTGGG